AAAGGAGGATGCTGGCTTGAAGGTGTTGATTAACGATGAAGTGTGGAGTATGTGCTCCTTGGATAACACTCTTTTTCCTTGTCTATCCAAGATTTGCCAGTGTTATAGCTGCACTGCCTGTCCTGATTTCTTTAGTACTGTCGTGCAGTTTCTTCCGTATCTTAGATGATTTTCCTACATGATTTGCATGTGTCCTATTGATGTTGGCAGGACAGAGATCTTGATGCCAAGCTCTCTAAACTTACGCCTTAAAATGCCAGCATTTCCAAGGAAGAAGTAACATGGACCTCCTAAAATAGGGACCCTTAAATTAGAGGCAAAGAGCACAGAGGTTATCTGACTTCTCCCGGTTAAAACCCTGGCTGTTATGCAGGTAGGAGGGGGAAGGTTTTGGGAGGAGAATTCATGAAGTGTTTTGGTGGAGCGAGGAGTTGTTGATTGCTATTGTCTGAATGTTTATTATCTCCCAGAATTCATATGTGGAAACCCTAATCCCTGGTGGTATTTGGAGCGGAGACTTTGGGTGGTGATTAGGTCATAAGGGTAGAGCTCTCATGAATGGGATCGATGCCTTATTGAATGAGACCCTCCTCTTTCCTGCTGTGTGAGGGACAGCGAGCAGTCATCTATGATCTGGGAAGTGAGCCCTCCCTAGACCGCAGCTATGGGTGCCTTGATGATGGACTTTGTGGTCTCCAACACAGTAAGAAATAAATTTGTGTCATTTATAGTCTATCTTGTCTATGATGTTTTACTGTACTAGCCTGAATGGACTGAGACACTTACACCATTTACGTCAAGTAAGAATGATTCTCAAATGAATTCCCTTGGCACTTTGGGAATAGAGCAATCAATACATAATATCCTAAATTCTACAATCTCCTTTGTTCCTTGTTTCCTCCTTTCTTTCTTTCCAACCTTATCCAAGAATTTCATAAGATTACAGATAGTGAATACAGTTCTGGGACTGATATTATGTGCATGCAATGACCTTTCCAAGTCATTTTCATTCTAATCTCCAACATAGTCTGAACATGACTCCATTGAAATTCAAATAATTTATCATAATCAGAGAGCTCTCTCTTCTTTTCCCCTGAGGAATCCCCATCACCCATTCTGATAGTCACAAAAGGACTTCCTCCACTCATCTTTGATTATGTCAGAGTTTAGAAGTGATTCAGAGATGCCAAAAGAAACCCGAGGACATTTTTCTCATCAAACCTGATCTCATGAAGCTAATAGATATTAAATAACCTTAAGCAAAACATGTCCAACCACTGTTTCTGGAACTACTGCAGAGGAAACTTGGCCTGGACCCTTTTACGGATGGCCTAGGGCAGGGACAGTCCCCGGGCTGTAGCACCTGCTTCTTGAAAAGATGCATGTGCAAGCCCTTCTGAAAAGGTTTCCAGGGAAACCATGTAACTTTTATTCCTTTTCTTCAAATGTATTAAGCACTGAACGTGCCTGCTAGTGCCTGAGGTTCTCATTTGAAATCAGAAGCTGCTGAAGAAAAGTGTTTGCCTGAAACACACCCACATGTGCAGAAACCGTTTTTATGCCTTCCTCACTAAATGTCAGCTGCATACTCAGCTGGGGAGAATGAAATGACCTGGGTTCATTTGTGGGGTGAAAGAGAGAATTAACTCTTTCTCTCCCTGTCCCTACGATGGCTACTGGTGAATGCAGGCATGTTCAGACTGAGCAATCGTATCTTCCCAGTTAGGCCCTAAGTACGTTAAACTATGTAGACAAGGCAAATACCAGAAGGTCTTCATTGACATTTGTTAATATGCACAGAAATACTTGGGTGAGGAAATCACAGAAAACTTGACTAAAAAATTCCCACTTGACTCCATTATGGTGAAAAAAATCTGAGATTCCCCTGTTCTTATTTCCATTGTGATTGGGGTAGAACCTGGCAGTTGTGTTTTCTACCTGGGAAGTCCACATGTTCAGTCAAAACAGATTGGTCTAAGGCAGATTCCTGACCAAGCAAGCGTGTGCAATTTCCCTGGAATACGAAAGTGGTGATGTCCAATGTGGTAGCATATGCTTGTAATATTAGCACTCAGGAGGCTGAGGCAGGAGGTTCTCTGTGAGTTTGAGGCTAGCCTGGGCTACATAGTGAGTTCAAGGCCAGTCTGCACTACATGGTGATATCCTGTCTCAAAAATAAACAAAGGCGATGGGGGTTTAAACTAGATCATAAAACCAGAGATGAGAGGCAGCCATGACTTACTTGCTTCACCCAAGGGAAAAGAGCTATGTAAGGGGAGATCCTGAAGAACACACAGAGAATGATAGGGCAGAGAAGACACGGGAATGCTGCTCTCTAGTCACGGAGTGGCTTTGGATAGGTGTGTGTGTGTCAAGGGGGTTTTTCACGGAACTGAAACAGAGCAGGATCCAAAGTCTTTGCAGGGAGACTTCAAGGCTTAGGAGGACTTGTTGGGTAGATGTGGAAGGAAGCTTTCATAGAGTTCAGCTTCACCTCTTCTTTGTGAAAAATCAGTATAGTATGTATCTTGGATTTTATGTCTTCACGGTAAAATTGAAGTCACTTATTTTTAAAACAAGTTGAAAAATATGAATCTACAGATAATGTGAATGATTATTTTCTTTCTAATCCTGTATGTATAGAGTTTGTCTAACTTCAACCAAGCTATCTTAGACTTTGCTTGCTTAATATCTTGTGAGACATCACACACCAAGGTCACCTGAACTAATTAACATGGTTAAGCAGATGATATATATGCTCAATCTAACTTTTGTCTGTGTACCACGTGGTCCCTGAGTCATTTCATTGCACAGATGATTCCCAGTACATCTTGGAACTTCTCTGTGTGAGATCTTGCATAGCTGCTTTGTCAATGTTATACCCACGATACCATCCAGGTCCATTCTATTTTCTCTGTTATACAGTCCATTGTAGAGTTTGTCCTTGTCTACTTCCCCTTCATATTCTCCAATAATTCTTTAGAATTACTTTTCTATGTTATAGTGGATAGCCTTTTTCTGCAGGTATATTAGTCACTTTATTACGACAAAATATCTGGTACCTGCAGCACAAAGAAGGATAGGTTTATCCCTCTCGCAGTTTCCAGTGGGTTCAGTCCATGGTCAGTCAGCTCCAAGGCAGAAATGGCATGGAGGGAGGTCATAACAAAGGAAACCCTCATGCCATGGCAACCAGGAAGTGGAGAGAAAAGAGAGGGACCAAGGGCAAGAATATGTTCTAGGTCCTGCCCCCAGTTATCCACTTCCATCCAGGCCCCACCTCCTAGTAGCACATTCAACTACTGAACTCACCCCTGGATTGATCCACTGCTGACTGCAATGCCCCCATGATCCAACCACTTTCCAAATACATGAAACGTTGTAAGGACATTTTAGATCTAAATCATAATAGGAGGGGTTGATTTTGTACCTATTTCTCCTTTTGAAAACAGCATTTGGATTTTCCTTTGAGTTCCTCTTAAGGGAAAAGGGGTTTGGGTGACACTGACTGTATCTTCTGTCTCCAAGGATGGGCGCTGTCTTCCTCTGATTAGTGTGTTTACCTCCACATTGGTTGACTAGAGTCTTCACTGAGATTCAGCCTTGGATTCTTGATGAAACCGGTGAGAAGGAAGCAGTGTTTTCTCCCATGGAGTCCAAGCTATTAGGCTATAGCCTCCAGCTTTCAATTTAGCATCTTGACCTCATCTTTGGAAAGAACAATCCTGAGAAAGAAAGGGAAAGTAGAGCTGATGACTTTGTTTATTCCTTGGATCAGCTGGGCCGGCTGCCAGGTGCATGTCTGAGTTTTCCAGTGAAATGAACCAACACATTCTTTTTTAGCTGGATCATTTTGAATTGAGTTTCAGTCACTATCAATCTGAAGTGTGGTCTATCATTATTGTCCTTAAAAGTTTCTTATGCTTTTTAACTCCATACAGAATAAATGCAACTCCCTCTGCTCAGCTTTAGGACCTTTTAGATTTTTCCTGTTTTACCTTTTGCTTCCACTCTTTTACCCCTCAGAAGATATTTCTGCCATTGTATTTCTTGATTCCTTTTGTATTTTTACCTGATGTTGCCTTTGGCTTAGTGTTAGCTCAAGTAGGGGCCCAAAGGAGATTTTCCAAAGGTGAGGTCCCCAGGTTAAAGAATGCACAGAGCACAGTGCAAGAGCACAAGAGCAGCCTTCATCTTACTGTATAGTTCTTATACTGGTTGTTATCATATATTTATGTTTTGGTATAGGGCTGTAATCATCACACGCATGTTTATTGTGCTAAGTCATTGTTATAAAACCGTATCCCACTGTACGCTTACACTAGACACAGGGGTTACATTCTTAGGTGTCTTTTAGATGTCTCTGAGCTTTGAAGCAGTTTGAATGGTTCCCTGCACTTATATGTCCAGCCTCACCCCATAAAGAATGCTCATCCATCAAAACTAACTCAAATATCACCTCTAACAGGCCTTTTCCAGTGCCTTAGAACAAACTCTTGCTACCTTATATTTTTGTGACTTTTTGTCTAAACCCCTAATTTTTTTTTGTTTTTGTTTTTTTTTGAACTGGGGATTGAACTCACGACCTGATGCTTACCGGGCATGTGCTTGAGCTGCTGAGCTAAATCCAAGACCCTAGTAAACCCTTATTATAATACATTCCATCCTGTTTTGTCTTCCTAGTCAAGAGCTGCTCTGTATTCCGGTCCCACGCCCAAGCAGGCATCAGTTGGTGGTGATTTAGCACAGGATTTCCTTCACTAGAGTCAGGTGTGAACATACCTGGTCTTTCCACCAGATGGTGCCTGGCTGGTGTGGGTTTTCCCAGGGTCACTAGCACAGCTGAGTGTTTTGCACATAGTAACACTGAACGAAGGATGGTAAGAAAAGAGCATTTAGTCTCAGGGGCTTCCACACTCATTTTCATATGGGTTTTGGTAGTATTGAACCGGTTTCAAATACCAGTTTCAGTGTTCACAGCTGTGATTCCTCACCCTTCACTGCCACCTCTTAGCTTCCCGCCAGTTGAAGCTGCCTTTGAGAGACCCGTGGAGCAAAGGTTAAAATCTAATTGGAAGAAGGAGTGAAAGCATGGCCAGCAGCTCTTCAGGTGGGCGTTTGAGTGTTGATTAACATCTTTTTCTCATTGAGATGAAAGGCTGTCATAGCTGTTAGAAGTGGCACTCTGAGCTGGGGACTGGTTTCCCTTAAATGGTTCTTGATGGTTTCTATTCGGTTTGGAATAGACATTGAATTTGCACCTTTGGAAAAACTAGAAAGAAGAAGCAGAAGAGTAAGAAAATGTGGGATCACTGTTTTGCAAAACAGGGCTTAGTGTAATGGGAGCTCCTTTTCTGTCACCATTGTCAACCTCCTCTTTGTCCTCCTCATCATCAGCCAAGTGCCTGCAGAGGTACCTGGTCCAGCTCTAAGACTGAGGAAAAACAATCCTACAAAAATGGGTTGTATGGAATACAATTAGACAAAAGTGGGATTGTCTGCATGTCTATGTAAAACACACTGGATACATAATTATCTCCATGCTTATTTGTATAAGTATGGCCTTTTGGGTGGAAGGTTTCTCAGCGAGCTGAAACTAGTAGAGTTTATACACACGGACTACGTTACTGATTATGACTGCTGTTTACAAATCCTGATGATGTTTGTGGTTATGCTGTTTTAGAGTGACTGATATTTCCAAGCAACTACTCTGTTCTGGGCACTATGCTAAGTGCTTTCAAATACATTAATTATTCTGTCTTCTTTAATCATCCAAACAACTCTTCTACCTAATGAATTACCCTCAAACTTAGTGACATCAAAATACAATATTTGCTATCTCATCATCGTTTCCACAGATCAGGAACTCAGGCATTACTTGGTTGAATTCTCTAGTGCAGGATCTTTCACAAGGCTGTACTGGAAAGACACACGTCCTCATGTACGGAGGTGTTGCTGACCAAAGTCAACTCCTTTTGTGCAGGTGGCTGGAGACCTTCCTGGTTTCCCGGCCTCGTAGACTTCTCCACAGGGGTTATAGCTCACAACTGTGGCATGGTGCAATGGATGAAAGAATACTCAAAGCTAATGTCCAATCCAAACTCCAAGAGGGGCCAGAGGGGCTGTCCCTAACTAAGATGCCTCACCATGAGCAAATCTCAAAGGCAACAGAGAACCGGAGCCTCTGAGGCTTTTTATTGACAGAACCAGGAAGCAAGGATAAAAGAAAAAGAAGGGCATCTCTGCAGGAACTCATGTAGAAGACAAAGAAAGGACAAGGAATGATCAGGGTGGTCTGTTAAATGACTGAGCTTGAGACTAATCTAAATGACAAATTGGAGTATGGAGAGGACAAAGGCCAGAGCAGTCATTTCTTAAGACAGTGCATCTTGATCTCACTTGGACTTGTGGCCCTGTAGACTCTCTTTTTACCTCTAACCATGCATTCCAGGAGGTTTTGAGTGTGTGGCTCCAAAAGTTCCTTACTTCTGTGTTTCCATTTCACTCACACATGTCGCTGGACAATGCCCCTACACACAGAGAATCTCAGAACATGACAGGCAGCTCCATCAAGCTAAGCATGAGAGAGCTGGGGATGCCAGCAAGATGGAAGACAGAGGCTTTTATGACCTCATCTTGGAAGTGATGTTATATCACCTATAATGTATTATATTTATCAAAAACAAGTTGCTAGATCCATCCCATACACAAGGAAAGGAGATCACACAAAAGCAAGAATATCAGGAGGTGGTGATCACTGGGCACTGTAACAGAGATCTACCTACTGCAGAGATAGACAGTCTGTTTCTCATTTTACAGAATAAGAAAATTGAAGCACCACTGAAAAATCAGAGATTGTAGGTGAAACAGGTGTGTATGTACTGCATCATGTAAGATAAAATTCATGTCTTTGAGTAGCATTTCTCAGGCACAGATTGGGACATCCTGAGCCTCCTTGTTTGTTTGACTTTCCTCACTCACAGCATCTACCCTCCCTCCTATAGAGGCTGGAGCCAGTAGCCCTGGCTTTCCGTGGAAGGTTGTTGGAAATGCAGACTCTCACGCCTCATTCCCATTGCATGGAGTTGGAGTCTGCATCCCTGGGAGCTCGTGTGCACATTAATATTTGGGAAATGCTCCAGACAATGTCCTCTTTAGGGCTCTCTGCGAAGATCGAATGTTGCATGTCCCTCTGTCCTTCCCTCTGCTGGCCCTGCATTGTTCCAAAACCAGAAGAAATGAAAGTACTTATTGCCTTTCATCTTGTATAAGCAGCAACAAGGTAATAATGGAGTCGTTATCAATAAGATAGACCTGGAGCAATTAGCATAGACAATTAAAATTGAAAGTTGGCATTTGATTCTAGAATGCACTGCAGCTAAGGTGTCCAGAAAGTGAGACTTCCTAAATTATATTTTATTTAGGCAACCAAATAGATCAAAAAAGCATTGAGCTATGTGAAAGATGCCAGACCTAAAAGACAATGTATTGTATGAAACCACTGAAATGAAATTTTAAAAATGGCAAAACTCCAGAGATGGCATTGTGGTAGCTTTCAAGGATTAAGAGAGGTGGGAGAGAATTTATTGCAAAGAGACACAAGAGGACTTTCTGGAATGATGAAATTGTTATCTTGACTATAGTGACAAATACGCATTTATTAAAACCCACAGGATTGCTTGCATATTTAAAAATTGGCAAATTTTACAGAAATTGATCTTCAGTAAAGCTGATTTTAACAGAAAAGCAAATCAGAGTTAGCACTGTCAACCCATTCTAGCTGTGCTGAGTTTCTACAGTTGGAGAACCCAGGAACTAATTTACATTGATTAGAATAACTCATCAAAGAAGGGTGCTATTTAGAAGATTTCTTGGTATCTGGTGTTCACAGAGAATGGAAATTATTTTGCTTGAAATTCTGCTGGGATGATGACACCATATTAGAAAATCATAAGATTTCCCTACTTTAAAGTGCTCCTCAAAGTCACACTCCACTGATGCAGCCACTGGACTTTTGATGTCCTTAAAAAGGAAAGACACACTCGTGGAGCACTAACTCACTCCAGGGCAGACCCTGGGCCTACTTACTGCTTCACTTTTATTATTTCATTTAATCTGCACAGCAATTCTATAAAGCAGGTACTGCTGTCCTCTCCAGTTTTCAGAGAGAACAGAAGCTTAGAGAAGCTGGGCAGCTTATTCAGATGACGATTAGTGCTTGGATTTGGGATGATCATGTGGCTAAGTCACTTAGCTACCGTCAAGTCTAAATCTTTCTCAGAGTCTACAATGGATTGTCTCCAAGTTGCTGGCTGACAATTTACCCATGTCTACCGCCACACACATTTACTCTGTATTTCTTCCAGGATTTTGTAAGTCTCTGACGTAGATTAAGTACGTCAAGACAACCTACTTTCTGGAAGCCTGCAGATCTCCTTTAGGCTATCAAAATAAGAGCAAGGAGTTGCTTCAAAGTGGAGGAATTGTCTTCTCTGCTTTCTTGAGCCAAGGATTGAACAGAGCAGAGCCAGGAAGAAGTCAGAGGTTTGGCAGTGGTTTGTGGCTTGGGGATTTCCCCAGGAGAAACCCTCAGGAATCACACGGCTGGCTGCTTTGTAGAACAAGGGCTTAGTGATTATGCAAAGGAAAGGTGCAGGGTGTGTGTGCACATTGTGCATGTGTGTGTGTTGGGGGAAGTGGTACTGGGGCTCAGTACGGCTTTGGCTACCATATACATTTGGTGATTTAAGGCACTATTCAACCATAACCTGGCACTTGACTATAAATAGTAGTTAGAGATAATGGTGGATGGATCTCTGCTAGAGAGTAGGAACCTATTTTAACTTTTAGTGTGATGAAAAGATTCTGAGCTGGAGTCTCAGAAGCTGCTCATCTGCTGTGAACTGTAAGGACACACAGCTGTGGTGCTGCCAATGGACCCCATGTTCCTTTGGGTGTCCCGATCCCCACTGCATCCTCCAAGTCAGCATACCAAGGGCAGTGGAGGGCTCTTAGCAAAGCAGCAGGCAGAGACCCATAATTGTTCCTGCTAACAAACAAACACACAGAAAAGGCTGACATTTGTGAGAATGAGGCTCTTTGCACTTCCCAGCGGGAACCCCAAATGTGAGCTGAGGGCTTATTATGGCTACCAAGCCGCAGTAGGTTTGCAGAACCTCCCAGAGTCACACCAGGTGGGCAGCAGTCCTCAGGGCTGAACAGGCAGCGGCCCAGATCCTCACTCTTGGGGGAGGAGTCAGCCCTGCATGGCAGGATGTGGTCACAGTCAGGTAGGGTCCAGTAAGGCAGGGAGCTCCAACACAATTGTCATCATGTCCCAAAGTGCCCACAACAGCTTTATTTATTTATTTATTTTTATTTTTTACTTTTAAATTTTATTTTAAAGAGGATAAAACCAAGGATAATAAAACAGAACCAAACCAATCTAAACAAACCAGTGTAAGTGATACAAGACTTCAAAACCCTAATGCATTTTTCTGCAGATACCTTCGGACATAGTAAAAATCAAACAGAACAGAATAGAATAGAAACAATAAAAACTACAATAGCTCTGATACTACTGTTTGATAATTACTGACTCCATAGGATTTTTTAAATTTGAGAAACAAATTTCTCTAAGCTTTTAATGAGGAATGAATTAAACTACAGGATATAACTAGAATGCAGACTACATTTTAAAAAATGAAAATATTTAATTTTTTCCTCCTTATTAAGAAATTCAAATAATGAAAATCAAGTTCTTTAAACCCAAGATAAAAATAAATGCAAAGTAAAAGCACTCTTAATAGTATGATGTGATATATCCTCCAACCCATTTTAAATTTAATTTACTTTTTTTTTGGTGGTACTGGAGCTTGACCCCAGGAGTGCTTGATCTTTGAGCTACACCCTCAGGCCTTTTCTATTTTTTATTCTGAGACAAGCTCTTGTAAGTGGCCCAGACTAGCCTTGAATTCGCAGTCTTCTTGCCTGAGCATCCAGAGTAGTGGGGTACAGATGTGTGCCACCGCACTCGGCCTTTTAGCTTTTTAATGTACAGATAAACCTACCTTTAAAATCGAATGTGATCACAGTGCGGTACTGTGCTGTAACCACCTTGTTTCACTCCTCAGGTGGTGACAGATCTACCTTGGTGCTCGTATGTTTGGATCTGGTTTGGCTTTTCAGAGTCTTCATTATGGTCCATGGTATGAATGTGATTAATTAACCAAGGCCCTTTGAGAGATTTTTTAGGCTCTTCTCCTTGTTGGTTATTACCTAGAATGCTGGTAACTAGTTCTGACCATAGTGTTTGCACATTTGCACAATCATTTCTGAAAGAGAAATTCTTCAGAGTGGTTGTGTACTTTATTATATAGATACTTGCTTGGTCATTGTGTAGCTACTTTCTCAATTTGATAAATTTTGTCAAAATGCCACACATCAATTTTTTAATTTGCATTAAAGCTTTCAATGTGTGATACAGTGCCTTTTCTCTAGTACCAACTTTGGGCAGTATAGATCTTTGCTAAGTTGGCAGGAAAATGAATTTAATTTGCACTTGTTTGGTTAATAGTAAGTTGGGGTACAGAATTATCGGATTGGATGAAACTGAAACTAAGTCCTCAGAACAGACCAGGACCCTTAAGAAATCCCAACTTATTTTGTTTCCTTCATATTGTTAAATATAATTACCAATATATTACATAATCATGAAAAGCAAACCCAGCACATCAAAGATAAAAATTTGCTCCAGAAACTTTTAAAAAAAATTTTTGAGTTTATTGCAAAAAATAATTCATTATTAATACACAACCAATAGCTTCCAAATCATGTTATACAATTCCTGTATCTAACATTATTTTTTAAAAAAATCACTTTCTGAAAAAGATATGTTTATCATAGTTAATTTTTTGAGAAATCAAGATTATTTTTGGTTGATATATTTTATCTCTGGCATCCTCTTCCGTTCTCCCCCCCAGTTTCACTAATGCCAGACAGTTCCAGTCCTACGGGACTAGGTCCAAAACCTCTACTTTCCTTCCTTTCAGTGCCTCGAATTCCCCTCCACAAGCAATGTTTTAGGCCCCAGAGTGCAGTCACAGAGATGACGTGTTTTAGTTCCACCAGGGACTTTATCTGTACTCACGCAGACATGGTTTCCAGGGACAGCACCAGACCCAAAGCCCTTGTTCAGACACACAGCACCAGATGCGTGGAACATGTGTGATCACCCATGCTGTGTCCCACGCTGACATGGGCACCTGACTCAGTTTAATCTGTGACCAGCTCACATTTCTTAAGCATCTTTGAATGAGAGGTCCCTGTTTGTATGTTTCACTGAACTCTGCAAGTTATGTGGCCAGTCCTGAATACACATAAAAGTTACCTTAATCTAATTTGACTTGTGATCTGTGTTTTCATTTGGCAGTGAAAATGGAGTTGTGGGTAGTTGTCTAGCAGAATAACTCTAGTTTTAAAACACTTCAAAAAATATAAAAATTGTTGGTCATAAAATTTGTCGAGAAAAGGAAGGACGATACGAAGGTGATTTTTGTTTAACCAAAAGTCGATGAGTTGAAATTACACTCTCACTGGAATCTGGAAGAATAAAGCTCAAGATGAGATCATATCTCTCCCTTTTGCTGAATATTTCAGCTTCATGAAAGAATTGGTTCATTTGAACAATGAGCACATATTTATATACACCAATAAGCTAAACATAAACACAGTCCTTTGTAACTGCTTCATCATCAAGATGATTATTTCAGCAATTCAAATGAAAATCAGAATCTAGAAGATTTGATCTTAGCTATTCTTTAGGCTACTCTTTTTTTTTTTGGACTAGGTGTTGAACTCAGGGCTTTCACACTGAGCCACATGCTCAATCTTTTAAAATTAACAAAAATTTTCATTTTGAGATAGAGACTTACCAAGTTGCCCAGCTTGGACTGGAATCTATGATTTTCTGCCTCAGCCTCACAGAGTGTTGGGACCACACTCTGGTTAGATATCATATGCCATCTCTAATATGAGAGACTCAAAATATAAACGATTTAAAGAGCAAAATAAATAGCCATCTTAAGGAATAGGGACGGAGTCCTGGTAGAGGCAGGAAGAGGGCTTTGGGGAGGATAGAGAGGAAGACAGGGGTGAAAATATGATCAAAATGTGGCGAGTACCAACCACCAAGCAGAATGTACTAAAAGTCAAGTCACACAGTTAAACAAAAATAAAGCATGCTCTTTTAAATTAGCATAATCCTTCTGGCTTTCTTCAAAAGAATGGTAGGGAATTATGGCCTAGAAATACCATAAAATTTCACTACATGGATAGTCCTCTGTACAAAGGGTAAAGTAAGACTGTGAAAGAAGGATTTGCCTGGAAGAGTAAATCTCTGTAGACACCTATGAGCTGGGGGAGGCTCCGGGAGGCTGAGCTGCCTGCACCTTCAAGGACCACGCGGGCTTGGTCCCCTGGCTGTTGGAGTTGCTCGGAGTATTGTGTCTAGCTGCATCTCCCATGAATTAAGTCATAATCTCAGAGTGGAGCTCTGGCAAGCGTATTTTTAAAAGGTGTCCCTCAAACTTCTTATTGTTTATAGCCAGCGTTAAACTGCACTTGGCTTTTGCACCCCCACCTCCACACCCACCCCCACCCCACCCCCACACCCACACACAGACACATAGGCTTGGGCTATATCACTGGGCCAAGTGTCATCTGTGTGAAAGATTTACAACTGATTATACTTAAATACAGACTCAAGTAACATAGTCACTTCTATGTAATTTCTTAACAGTAGGTAATGATATCAGATAAATAATTTAAGGATCTCTCTAAGGTTGCTAGACATTTCCAATAAGTGATAAGATGTTTAAGAGATGAAGATATTTTTGAGAGAAAGATTTCATAACTGTTTTTAGGAATGTATCAAAGTTTAAAAGTCCTTTAAACTGAAAGCAAGTAGTGTTCTTCTGAACGGGGGATACCTTTTAGATACCAAACAGCGTTTTGCATTAAAAAAGACAGAAAAAAATGTTCATGCCAAAAATTTCAAATTAAGGTATTTGGAAATGAATTCGTATTTTCCAGACTAGCTCTTTTAATAATATCCTTCTTATAAAAAATCCATAAAATGTCTTCATAACTATGAACCTACAACACTTTTAATCCTGGGGTAGAGATTCTTTTCAACTAACTTTTTGAGTTCTACGGAAAGACATCCTCGCAGATATCCCAAGTCCATACAGGGATGTGGGACAGTGGCCACTGGGGGAGAAGACAGGCAGGAAAAGGGGGAGAGAGAAAATATGCAGGTAAAGCCCCTTTAGTTACTTCCTGATCCTGCGGGGGTGGGGACGGAGGAGAAGGCTACAGGAATTACATTTGGTAATTCACTCTGGTAGAGCTGAGATAAAAAGCCTCTTCTCTGTTGCATATTTGAACCCAGGGTACTGTAAAAGGCTAACTGCAGAACACACCGAAAAGACTTATTGGGCTTTAGTATACCTGCAGACACAGGATGGGAGTGTTTGGAAGCATCCTTTAAGGAATGAGACAAAAGTTACAAAGATTACATCTTGTCTCTCTAAAGAGCTTTGTTATGGCTTGTGTTTAGCTGTCTCTCCAGAGCCTCTTTTGGTCACGGGGGTTGTTTTGGGAAGTGGCTGGATCTAGCGTGTGTGACGCTGGGGCCTACCCGTGGTGTTAGTGCTGTCCGCCTGGATGAGATGTAGGGGACAGACGGAGCTATGGTCATGTCTCGCTTACTTGGCTACCTCCTGCCCACCTGAACTGTTTCTCCTCTGTGGTGCCCCTCTGCCATGCCACCCTGTTTTGGAGCCAGTTGATGACTGACTGAAACCTCTGCAAACTGTGAGCTAACAAAACCTTTTCTCTCTTCACTTTGGGTGTCAGGTATTTTGTCTCAGCAATGAGAAAAAAGTGATTAAGGCAAACTTGAAGAATACAAGATAACCACAATTGACAGAAAACAAGTGTCATCAAATACTCTAAAGAACTTACAGAGGACTCAGTAGTAAGATGGTCAGAGGGTCATGCACAAAAAGGAACTTCTCAGTCTGTTTAAACTTAGCATATTCTCCAACCCTGCTGCAGTAAATGAGAAGAAACAGACCTGCAAGTAGACCCAGCCTCGATATTCACCAAACAACCAGCAGTACCAACTTTTTTTTTTCCACTGAGGAGTTCATCTAGGGAAAGAGCTGTATTTCTTAAGTGCCAGATTCCACTTTGCTTGGTTGCATTTTAATTCCAACTTTGGTGCCTGGCATGCTGATGGAAGCTGTAGAACACTATTTCATTCTAGTCCAAAGCACTAGGCGGAGTGTTTTTCTCCTTGTTTGATGCCAAGAACAAGATGTAGGAACCAGTTGAATTGCACAGTCCATCCTTTGTCTCTACAAACTTCAATCTGATCCAGAAAATACTTTTTAGCATCCTCCTCACTTTTCCCGACTGTCAGGGCATCCCGGATATACTCAATATCTTCTTTACTTGTCAACTGGGGCATTCCGGTCATCAGCATCATGGAGAACAGGATGATCAGGAGGTTTGTGTGATGGCGCAGGGCTAGATAAGCTTTCACACAGACATCCTGGATAGAAAAGACACCACTATTGTTAGTGTTACAGTAAATGCAGGCTGGAAGAACTGGTTCATTTGACAAGCAAATACTTACGCGTGTGCACTGTAAGATAAATATCAATAGATTCCTTTGTCATTCTGTTATCAGCAAGATGATTATTTCATCTTGGTTTATTGGAATGTATGTGGCATTACTGTTCACAAGAAGAAACCATTACATGCCAGCCAGGTCTCTACCACAGATGAAAAACTTGAGAATAAAATCTATTCTTAGACTCTTTTAAACACATTTGTGTAGTTACGTAGATCTAGGCTATGCTCAAGAAAAACTAGAAAATTCAGTTAAGTTTCACCTCATTTCTTAGCCTACCTTTTAAATTTATTTCTTAGGAAATTGAGGGTAGAACTATCGGTAGCTCTAAAGAGGAGTGATTCACTTTTGAGCATCATCCTGGAATCAATAAACTTGATGTAAGCAAAAATAATGATTGCTGGGAGCTAATGAAATCCACAACAACGAAGGAAACAGAGTGCCTGTGATTTAGATGTTCATCTTTATTTTATACTTTGTTCTCTTCTAAGAAAACAGATGAATTAGGGTTTTCTCTGTTGGATTCTCAAAATTATTGATCTTTGGAGTTTCAATGCAAATTTTGAACATTGTGTGAAAGGGTGGGCTTTAAAAAAGTATGACAGCTGATGCTTCTGCAGAAAACTTCGGAGCACGTGACACAGGTGAGTTATGACCACTTCTAAAGGAATAGGTATGATTATACCATTTAAATTGTCCCAAAGTATAGGAAAAGATGCAAGGTTTTCAACTTTGTAACATGAGAATAATCCAACCTTATTGTGATAACATGATCAAGACAAAATATCAAAGAGAACTAAGGGTAATGATTATAAATATTTTAAATAATGAATAAAATGCTAAAAGAATAGCATTCCATAACCAGATAGATTAATCTCCAAACCAAAAATAGTTCATTAAAAATATTGTATTAACATCCATTTCTGATTTTTATTTTTTTAAAAAAGTAACATGTAAATTCATGTGAAACTGAAATGTAACCATGTGAAGAATTATCTAATATTATCAAAATAATTCTGCATAATGAAATGTCAGAAAAAGAAATGAAGTATAAAAATCAGAAAAATGAAGATAACATTACTATTTGCAAGTGACATAACTATTTCCTTAGGACACCAAGGGAAGAAAAACTCAAGTAATACTGTAACTGTTTTTTTTTAATAAACTACCTTTTTATAAAAATTAACAAATACAATGTTGTAAATAGGAGCCATCAACTGGAGAATGTACTGTAAAAACCAGTGCTGTAATAACAAGAGCATTATATCTAGAATTAACCCAAACAAAAAACAAACAGAACCTATTTTATAACAAACTATAAGACTTTACAAAGTCACATAAAAGGAAATTACACAGCAGCGAATGACATGGCGGGTTACTTAGAAATAAACTACTTGTTTCCAACATGTGAAATATTTTCAGATTATTTATAAACAGTACAATTTCAATTAAATTCAATTAAACTCAGAACTCAAATGTGGTTTCTAGTTCATCCAGAATCATTAGGGCCTGGGAGGATATTTTCAAAAAGAATGGTAATAAAAACCAGTGCCTGCCACCACAGATATTAAGACATTTTATAGAACTATATAGCACAGAACAGTATGAAACAGTATTTATTCTAGTTCAAAAGGACAAGAAAATTTTTGGAACATAGCAAAAAGTGCAAAGGCATGGAAATCTGATCTATAGATGGTTTCTCAAACTGGCAAGGAGAAGGTTTATTATCTGATAAATGAAGCCAGACTGGCTCATCATGTTGAAGAAGAATAGAAGTTAAAGTTTTACTCTATGTGATCTGCCAAAATAAATTCCAGATAATTTAAGGACTCAAATGTAAAATGGGGGGCTGGGGATTTAGCTCAGTGGCACATGCGCCTGCCTGGCAAGCACAGGGTTATGAGTTTGATTCCCAGAAACCCACCCCCCCCCAAAAAAGGAAAAATTCTTAAATAATTGTAGATTGGGAAAATATTTAATGAAGAAGAATTCCAAGGTAGAAAACATGCAGAAGCTATAAAAACTTAAATACTTCTTGGGAAAAAGGAAAGTTATAAACAATTATTAAAATGACAAAAAATACATTTGCAACATGATTCTTACAAACTGATAATTACAAATTGATAATTACAAGCTGATAACTACAAACAGATAAGGAAGAGATAAATAGTTGGCCAAGATGAAAGGCCAAGGACATATATGAGAATTCACACAGTAAGACATAAAAATAGGTAACAATCCTGTGAAAAACAACCAGTTCCTTAGTGATCAAATAAATGAAACATCAAATGAGATGGAAATAGTCACCTACAAATTTAAAAATTTTTAATTGATTTTGAGTTTTCTTTAAAGATAATGCCCAACGTCCAGCTTTAATATGTTCATGGTAGATGGGGACAGATCTAACTTTCTCAGCCAATCATCTGCTAACTTGCACAAAGTCTTTCCAATGCTAATAAATATTATAGAACCGAATGGTGATGGCAGCAACTGAACTGATGGCATTTGTCAACATTCGTCAGCACTGAAAGAACTGTAGACCTGAAATAGATGAGTTCAGTCTCAAAAGACGTGACTTTAAAACTAAGTCTGGTGTGGTGGTGCACACCTGTCATCCCTGCATAACTGAGGCCGGTGAACTGCAAGTCGGAACCTGGCATACAAGTCTTAGTGACTCATCGAGAGGCTGCCTCAAGATCAGAAAACAAAAAAGAAAGAAAGACAGAAAGAAAGGCTGGAGGTAGGGCAGAGCACAAAGGCCCTAGGTTCAATCCCTAGTACTGCCGAGACAGAGACGAGAACAAATCTGCATCCTTGAACTCAGCAATTGCCATGTTAGGAATTTATGTTTTTGAAAAACTGGATAGTTTTGCAGCAGTTTATCTATAAGAAAGTTTACTAGGACCTCATTTAAAACTGTGGAACCTGGATGGCCACCGAAATGCCCTCAACAGGAGACAGACAAGGAAAGCTTTATGAATTGCATGTCTGCAGTTGCAAAAATATTGTAAAAGTGTTTTTAAAAGCATGTAAATGTGTTTGTGTTGAAAAATAACAATACAACAGCAGCAACATGTTATCATTTCACTTTGGTCAATTAACCCAAGACATTTATATGAGAAAAAAAAATAAATGTTGGCAGCTCAAAGGTTCACAGTGATTTTTCCTTTTGCTTCTAGTTCATCTTTCATCTGTATCATTTGTGTGGTAGAGAAACTACAGCAGTGACAGGGGTCAGGCCTGTGTCATGGTGTATACTGGGGATGGACTCTGGATGCATCTCCCCATCCAAGTTAAAAAAAAGAAAGTCCAAATCCAACCATGGACTATTCTGGCATCTTCTAAACAAGGCTGTGGATAGACAGATAGATAGATAATGCCTGGCACAGAGGCCAGCCTGTAGCAAGGGCTGGGACCTGTCAGTCCTTTTTCTGCCTCTGACTTTCATCTCTTCCCTGCTTACCATGAAGCAGGAGACCGTTTGGGCTGCTCCTGCTGCAGCGCAGGCCTCGGCTGTCGCCTGGATGCTGCCTCAATCTTTAGTGCTCTTGCATTCTTAATGAGGTCACTGATGTCCGGAATCATTTTCTATTGCTCATACCTAGGACCCACTGAGGTCTCTCGTTTCTTGGTAATTACGGAGCATAAGTACAGCCTGCCCCTCAGGCTACGGTCTCATTAATGCAGACAGGCGTCATGGGAGGGATGCCTTTTGATTTTGAATTTGTGTGCATTCCGATTTTTAATTATTTCCTATCCTTCTGCACACTGGGGGCTGCCTGCTATGGGAGCCCACTGTGTGGTCAATCTTTTTTTAAAGGAACGTTTTCAAGGAAGGAAATTAACCTGAAGGCATTTACCACACCGATCCATAGGTGCTCCTGTAAATACTTAAGAGGTGACAGGCAGACTCAGCCACCCCCGGCAGTACCCAAACAGATGCATGAAGGGAGAGGAGTTGGCTTGCTTCTCTGGAAGGTCATCCAATAAGATCCACCCCCCCCCCAGTGCTATGGATTGAACCCAGAACCTTACATATGCTAGGCAAGCACTCTACCACTGAGCTACAGCCCAGCCCATCTGAGTGACTTTTATGAGTGCTAATTTAATTCAGCTTGCTCTCATGTTCATACGTCAACATCTTTTCTAAGAAACGGGAATGTCCTTGCTGACCTGCATGCCCCATGCTTTCAGACACAATGCCCAATCCTACCTGAATGCACAGACTTGGAAATCTGGTGTGCATGAATTGTCCTTTGCTGTAGGTAGTGCATATGGATTCAAATTTGGGATTTCGTGCTGATAAACTGTCAACGAAGAAGCCACCTGACCTTAGATTTGTTATGTATAGAATGAGAACAGTAATATTAACAATACTCATTTTGGGTGGTTGTGGTGAGATTTAATGTTCTGTAACTGGGTGACTCATTACTAATCCCATACAGAACTGTGTTATGGAACATACACACTTCTCAATGCTAAGGAGGTCACTTTCTTGTCTGGAGCATCTATTCAAAATGTCTCCTTACCCAGTAAAGACCTAGGGGGTGGTGAGTTGAGTGGGGGTGGTGTGTTGGGGGGTGAAGACCCTGGGGCCCTTGTGGGGGCGCAGCAAAACAGAGGCTATCTGCAGGTGGCTTCCTACCTTGCAGGGGTGGGGTTGTCCACCTGCTCCACCCACTCAAGCCCCAGAAGTTTCATTTCTGTGCTCTCCACTCAGCTGCAGGGTCTGAAAGTGTGTCCTAACCCTTCTGCTTGGGCCCAGGAGCTTGTGGTCTGAGGGACCATGAGGATGTGGCTTGGGAGCTCAGGGGAAAACCCAGAACACAGAAGTTACTGACTGCACAAACAGAATTTTCCCTTTGGCCAGGACTGCCTGTTGTTTTTCTCAAACATTCTTCTCAACTGCCTGTTGGAAGTTTTGCATTACTGAATAGAGAAACTTAAGAGATAAGGGGAAGAAGTTGATTTGGGGACCTGGTTTAATGTACATTTTAATGAGTTGGATGTGGAAAACACTACATTATTATTAATGTCATTAGCTGGAGCACTATTCATTAGTAGCTAATAAATAGGTTGAGCCCACATGGTACATCTGCTCTGGATTTCATTGTTGATTTAAATGCCTTAATGATAGCATCCAAGTACCAAAAGAAAGGATTGCTTTTATAAAGCTACCACCTCCATGAGTCTTGGAAACAAAAGAATTCATTACCAATTCTGTACCCAAACTTTGACTTGATTTGCAAACTGCCCCCAGGATCAGTTCACTAAAAGGAAAACAATTTCTATATATAATTGTCTAACTTCTTACTGATGATCTGTGACAACATTAGACTGTCCAAAGACACAGGGAATACATTTTCTGACAGCTAACATCCTCTGTTCTATCTAGAAATTACTGTACATATTCATAAAAATGAAGAAGTAACATTAGGCACATAGAACAGAAACTCCAGAGAAAGATTCCAAGGCTGAAGATAGAGAAAAACAATTCACAAATATTCATCAATGAAAAAATATGTTCACACCCAATTAATTTTTCCTGAATAGCAATGTGACTTCTGTCTGGACATAGTGAAAAAAACCTCCAGCCCAAGGTGAAGGATTATATTTTGTTTTTAAAAAAAATCCAGTGCTGGCTATCCAGTGTTGTTAGTAGCTATTTTGGAAAATCAAGGCAGGTCACTGATGAGGTGACTTAATAAAGTGTCAAAGCGGGCGGTGGGCTAGTCCAACATTGACTATGCACTGATGGGCTGTGAGTTAGGATTCTTACTTCATTAACTCTGAAATTATTCTTAGACTTGCTGTCTGTCCGGGAAAGGGCTTTCTTCTCAAATATTTAGTGAGAAAAAGGTCACAGAGTAAACTGTTGTACATTAATCAATATCTGAATAGCCTATAGGTAGAGTCCTCTTACATTTATCTCCCAGTCTTGTTCTAAAAGAGATCTAAAGTGAACTGTCTGAATACATAAAAATCAAAATAGAATTAAAGGTGGATGGAGAAAGGAGAGGGAATAACAAAGGAAATGACCTACAACAGACAAGGGAAAGAAACTAATTTAACCTACATATCGCAAATCCTACGTAGCTGCTATGAAGGTCCTTTAAAGGTATCTCTAAGCCAAAAGGCAACTCTAATACATTTCGCTATCAAGTAGATTTTTTAAAAAATCTGTTTGTTAAGAAGCTCTGCCTTCCTAGAAACAAAAACCAATAGAAAGTTCACAAAGAATCTTTCTAAAGAGCACAGTTTGCAATGTGGTGCACATTGTCCTTGGTAGTATTTTTATGTTAGAAAAAACATTCTCTAAAAGAAACAAGCCATTGAGAGGAGACTCCAGATGAGAGGCAGCACTTGACCAATGTGGAAACTAATACAAGTCTGCTATCTACGGCACTGAATGGTGCCACACACTAGTGGATTGACTCATGCATACCATGGAGAGCCGGCTCTCCCGTCTGGGATTCATTTCTTTTCCAAGAGGGATGATTCATTTCAGCAGGCTCAACCAAGTCCTAACAATGTGACAGCCTGCAGCTGAGGGAGAAGTAGCAGGAACACACTCACCCTTCTCTGAGGGCAACTTCTAATAGACAACCTGGCGGCAGGTGGGTCCTGACCTGCTGGGGTGGAGGGAGGCTGAGCCCGCCCGACCAAAGTGGGTCAGGGTGCAAAGCCCAGCGGGAAGTCCTCCATCAGCTCAGTCCACGGCTAACGTGACAAATGAACTTGTTACCTCCCACTTGGCCCATGATAGGCTTTACTTAGATTCAGTTGTGGTTAATTAATTGTTTCCCTCTGCCCCACCTCTCCAACCTGCGAACTATTTTCTGTTAGACCCCGGTTTCTTTCCTTGACTCCTGTTCGGCCACACACCCTGGAGACACCTGTGCTCCATCCATACCAAGCAATTGTACCTTTTGTTTCCAAACACTGGCTGTGTGTACTTTCCTAACTTTCTAACTTCAGCTGAGTGCTCACACTGTTCTTTCTACCTGGCCATTCCTTCCTTCCTCACCTGGTATCTGCCTGGCGACATAAAATTGAATGTGGCCCTAAAGGCCTAATAAAAACACTTCTCTTTCTGTTCTCTCCTGCAGGGCGGGATTAATTGCTCCGTCTGCAAACTGCTCTCAGCACAAAGTATTCCTTGGCAGGAATCTTTGCCCGTCTCTCGCCTTGCTTCTGCTCTGTATGGCCTGCGCCTAGAATGCCATAAATAATCTGTGGGAGGATGCTTCGTGTGTGGAAGCCAAGTTCAGTCTTGGGTAAGATTCACCACTTTAAAATCAGGAGGGCTGGGGAGAACAATTATATTTGAAGGAGATAAAACTGGAAAGCTCTCTCACCTTCTCAAGGGCAACACTTGATGCTTATTAAATAAAAAGCATTTAATATGTGCATATTCAGGGCCTGTCTTATTCTGAATGTGGTGAATAGGGTTTTGGAGACAACAGAATGGAACAGGAAACTGAGAAAGTCCAGACACACAGAGGCCAAAGAAGAGGAGACAGCATGGACTCAGGGGACAATGGTGAGTTGGCCATAGATACCCAGGGGAGTGTTAGAGGGCTTGAGGTCTTGCAGGTCCTTGAAGCTAGGCTTAGGAGTACTCATGAGGCAAGGATGGGGAGGGGTGGCCCCGGAACAGGAAGCAAGACAGATCACAGCAAAGAGGGAGCTAGAGCTTTTGCAAATGGGAAAGGGAACAAGAGACAGAGGGAGAGGAGGTAGGGGAAAGATGGATGGGTAAGAATGATGCCATGCTATGTACCTGCAGCAGCTCTCTGAGAGCAATGCCACTGTTAGATGCTGCAAACATGTACTGATAAAAATTAACAAAGAAAGTAAGACAGAGGGGATCTCAGAAGACCACCCTAAGAAATAACACGAAGCTGAAGGCCTTAGGAGCAGTGGAGTGGAAGGGCCCTACGGAGACAGCAGGCGAGGTGGGGCCAGGCAGAGAGCAGGCTTCCACAGACCAAGCCGCTGGAGCAGCAAAAGGTTTGCTCTGTGGCAGCAGCTGCACGGTGGGGGCCAGCTGAGACACTCAGAGTTTATGCAAAGTGACAGAGTCATCATTGCCCGGAAGTCAGTGAACTTTACTCTGTTTGAAGCAAGGCACTAACATCTTAATTCCTAAATTTGGTTGTTAAGTTCTGATTAATCTATAACTTATTAAAAGGCTGAATATAACAACAGAATGAAGGCAAAACACTGATAGGTTGATGACACTATCTTTGGAAAGCAGAGCAATAAGTTTCTGACACCTTACATGTCTTAAAATATTTTACTCTCTTTTGTTTTTAGTAAAAAGCATTTACTATGTTGAAACTTGAAAAGGAAGCCATAACATGAGAGGTCAAATGTCATTTGTCCCTGATACAAATGTGTTTGTGTTATGTATAATCTGTAAGTGTTCACTGAAATTTAAAATAAAGTGGTCTAAAACAATTACCAGTGGGTTAAATACTATTTTTAAATATCCTCCATAAAAGAGAGATTTTCTTTGAGAATTAATGTATCAAAATCGTCATTATTAAAATATACATACAAGGCTGGGTGTGATGTAATTCCCGCACTCGGAAGGCTGAGACAGGAGGATTGCTGCAAGTTTGAGACCAGCTATAAAGTGAGCCCTAGGCCAGCCTGAGCTGCATAGTGAGACCCTGTCTCAAAAAGACTATGTGTGTATGTGTGTGTGTGTGTGTGTGTGTGTGAGTGTGTGTGTGTGTATTTAGCATCTTGTGTCAAATGCTACTTTACAGGGTCTTAAATTCAAATCATGGCCTGTTTTGATTTGTTTTGTGTCTGCCTAATTATAGTTTGGTCCGGAACTCTCCTCTCTTCTAGGCATTAATAGTCGCAGACAGATAAAGCATAGCATTTCTCTTTCAGTCCCCGGGCTTCTGCCTCTGGGCCACTGGCAGTGCATGGGTTAATTCTTCATGGAGCAGGTTTACCTCTCCCTTTGTGCAAGTGGGTCAACTTTTCTCCACCTTTCCTCCGGAATTATTCAAATTATCAGATCAAAATTAGCAATTCACTGGAAAGGAGGACAGCTTTCATTCCAAATGGAAATATATACAACATTTCCCAGCTTGCCTCAGCGTGGAAGCTTGATTATGCAAGATTCCAACACACTGTTGAGAGAATTTGGAGATGTGCTTGAAGAACATTAGAAAGGAAACAAAACTAAGACACAAAATCTTGGTTTAGCAGTATGCCAAAAACAAGAAAGAAAAGGAAAAGAGGAAGACCACTTGATGAGGTCAAAGTTAATTGATGCAGATTTTGCAGTTCATCTTTGTCAAGCAGAGACTGGAAATTTTGTGCGTATAATTTAGCATCATGTGTTCAGCTTTCCCTTGGGAGTGACAAAGGTGGCAGAAGGGACAGGAGGACTGGAGAACAGACAACGGGAGGGAGCAGAAGTGCACAGGCGGAGGTGGGGCTCCGTTCACCCTTCAACCGGGACGTGCTGCTTTGTGACACTTCATGGATCGCCTGAGACCTTCCCAGGATGTATACACAGGCAGCGGGTCTCTGGTGTGGTCTGGGCGCTGGGCTAAGCATTCTGCATATTTCATTTAAATGAGCCCCAGCGCTGGCTCCTGGCTGAGACAAAGCCCTCTGTGCTGTGCCAAGTGCTTCCTACTGGAGGCCCAAAGGCACCAGGCTGCCTGATCTCGGCGGGAGCCTCCAGGCCAGGCTCCATATATCTTTTTTTCAACAAATATATATATATATATATATATATATATATATATATATATATGAATTTAGATAAAGTAAATGATGCCTGGAAAAACTGCACCAGGTGGGTCTAATTCCTTCTGTAAAGATGAAAGGAGGAGTAGTTTTTATGATGCGCACTGCTTTTGGGCAGGAAGGCCAGGATTCAATGTCAAGTGCGCATCCCCAAGGGGCTGTCTTTTCACCTATCATGTCACACTCTGTCTGCGTTTAAGGCTCAATGTGAGCACATTCAGAGGTACTGAAAATGCAGGCGGGTCCTCCAAAACATAGATACACGTGGTGTGATCTAACATATGGTGAACCCTTTAAAAAAAAAGACAACTAGTACAATGAGAATTTATTACAGTGAAAGACACTCTGTCACTATCACCTTTAACATACTTAAATTACTCTCCTTCGCTTCAGAAACACTTGCCTTATTGTTCTTGCAGTGTGACTTTTACTATAAATTTAAAAATGGTTTAATAGTCACCATATTTTTTGATCACCTCCTGTATGCAAGAATGGCGGAATGCTCGAAGGTGTACCTTCCCGCTGGTGCACATGGCCTGGAGGTGGTGCTGATGGTCGCAAAGGATGGAGAAATACGGTCAGATCAAGAGGACAGAATGTGCAAAGGCTCCCTCCGCCTGGACTGCTGGGTGGAAGCCGTGGAAGGGTGGGCAACTTCTCCTGGTCCTCCCCAAACCAAAGGTCTTTCCATTAATAAATGTTTGAAGCTTGAAAAATAAACACACCAATAAGCAGAAGCACAGAAAGTGGAAGTGAAGTGCTGCTAGGATTGTATAGGGCAATGTGCGCACTGCAGGGGTCTCTGGGGACAGCACAGAACGGGGCAGTGTCCTTGGGAACAGCACAGGCAAAGGAAGAGAACACAGCCCCAGAGAGAAAGCGCCAGTCGGTAAGGCCAAGTCCGTGCCGCTGAGTCTGTGAACCTCAGTGTATCGCTGTTCTTTGTCTGAGCTGACAGATGAACCCCACCTTCCAGGAGAGTTGAACTGAGTGTTTCCCCTCTTTCAATGGCAAAATCCTTCCAAGTTCTTTTTTTGGACCATTTTTCTCTTCCAGGAAGTTGTTAAAATACACCATTTTTAACTTTTAAGAAAAACAGGACTGAAATGTGTCAAGTCCCTGGAAATAGTCTATAACCTAAGTGAGTTGATACAGAGAAACACACACACGCTAAAAATCCTTAGACCACGTGGCCACAGAGCTCTCAGTTTCTCTGATAACACCACTGGAACTGTGGGAGGGTGAGTCTTGTAATTACCAAGTCCAAAACCAGCCAGGGGAACAAACAACTCACTGGTTACAAAACAATCCACCCGAGTACACGTTCTGCTGAAGCGAAAGGCCCATGCCAGCTCTCAAGTGGCATAGCGGACTCAAGAGGAGACCTGGGAGAAGCACTTGTCCCTGAGATGTGAATGCAAAGGAAGCCATGTCTTCTTAACTAAGGCAGGAGGCTATTTAAGGGCAACCCAGGCAAATGGGCATAGAAGTAATTACTCTTTACGTCTGTCTTGTGTTTATATTGCTACAAAATAGGTGTAGTTACAACTTTGCTGAATTATGTTCATTAACAGTTATTAAATTTGCAAGTGTAAAGTGTTCTCATCTATTTGAGACTTTGGTAGACAAAACTGAACACAGACCAGACAGGAATGAAAAAATAAGTCAAATGTGAACCCCATCCCCTTGGGAAACGGTAGACGCATGTGGGATCTTGTTTACAGGTAAGAAGGACGGAGGGCCCCCCTTTTTTGGGTGCAGTACTGGAGACTGAATCCAGTGCTTTCACACTGAGCTACATCCCATCCCTTTTTAGTTTTAATTTTGAGACAGCATCTCACTAAGTCGCCAAGTTTCCGAGGCTGGGCTGCAAGTTGGAGATTCTTTTGCCTCAGCATCCCAGAGATGAGGGCTTACTGAGGTGCACCACCATGCCCAGCTCAAACCAGAGCTCTTTGGAGTCACGCTGACAAGATTCCCAGTGAGAGGAGGAACTATACTTTACCGAAACAAGATGATCATTTTATGGTGTAGCAAGGAGGCCCTCCGTCAACAAAGCAATAAACGCACACGTGTAGCAAAAACCACGTGAGGCTCAACATTGTTTGAGAGGCCTGGAAACTAGGTGTGAAGTTTGGGTCTTGTAGTGAATGCACTGCACAGAAAACTACCCAGTGGCCACCTTCTCATTGGGCGCCCTTCCTCAGAGCTCTCTCTTAAGTACCAGGGTCATCCTGGTGTTCGGTGTTCCACAGCCCTATTGCTCACGGATTGAGTTTCTTGCAGTTTGGTTTTGGGTGGGGCGACTTCTCAGAAGCATCATTTTACACTGGGAGCATGGACCGAGGTGGTAGAGAGGTCATGCCAGGAGGGGTCAGGGCAGAGGCTGGACCAGCCCTCAAGTGGGAGGAAAGATGGACCTCAGGGTGTCACACACACCACCAGGCAAGTGTTCTCCGCGGACCAGGAAGGGGAGGAGACATACCTGGAATTTCTGGAAGTGTGGACTCGTCTTCTTCCCAGAAGTTCCCATCACAAACAAGAAGTCTGGGGTCAGCACAAACGGTACTCTCTCTTTATTAATGCCCAGGAAGCTTTTGTAATTCCCCAGAATGTGCCCGAAGTCAATATGGAATAGGTTTCCTTGAGAAAAGAAAACACCTGACATTATTACACTAGCACGTGTGCTTGTACCAACTCTTGGTTATTTCTGGAAATAATTCTTGAGTTACCTGTAAATGAGCTGTCTTGGGTGAGAGCATTTTTTTACACTGCTTATTAACTTGTAGTATTTTCTATCTTAGCAGGTGTGTGAAAGTATTAGTAACCACAAAGCATTCTCTGAAGCAAGTATTTTTTTTTTTTTGGTAACCTTCTGGTGTTCTTTAGATGACAGCCAAAGCCTTTAAAAAAGATTCTGACCTTAAAATTACTCTCAGAAGCATAAATCAAAGTTCTCTGGCTAATATGTTAGCATTAAGCCTCAGGACTCTCTTATGTCCTTGGTGAAACCCGGCTTAGATGGATGCTGCCCTCTGCCCGGGCAGGGGCATTCACCTTTTACTCTTGAGTAGCACAAAATAAAAATAAATCATCCTGGATCTCCTTTGGGTCAGTTTCTACCATTACTACCATTACCACCACCGCCTCATTTCTTTTTTCTTGTTGGCTACTTATCATTTTGATACAGTGGTTGATAAATGTGACGCCTCTTTTATACTTTCCTATTCTCACCGGGACTAAGCAATTGCCTCACTCTAGGTCTTTTCAGACCCTACTCTTAAACTGGTTCAGATTTCGTGTTGAAAAATCTCATGATGTGGTGGCCACCACTGGCCACCATTAGAGTGGGCAGTGAGCCAGGAGGCAGGAGATCAGAGAGACAGAACATTGCAGACCGACTCTCTGGGCTTTTTGTTGTGGCTCCTCCACATTGTCTGACATTACTGACCATTCCTACCCTCATCAAATTCTGGGGCATGCACTATCCTTGTTTCTCTCTCTCTCTCTCTCTCTCTCTCTCTCTCTCTCTCTCTCTCTCTCTCTTTCCTTTCTTAAAAACTGTTTCCTGCCTCTAGGTACTTTCTGGAGCATTCACCACATTAGTGTTCTTAGATCATAATGACTTCTAACTTTGTGCTCACTACCTTGAATTCCCTTTAGAAATCACTGTGAGCTGGGAGAATGGGGGAAAATGTTTAATGATGAGGATGCAGACCAAGTGTTTCAGATGGGGAAGATGGAGGGATGGATGGATGGATGGATGGATGGATGGATGGATGGATGATGGTGATGGTTACCCGAGGGGAGTGTACTTAATCCCAAAGAACTGCATCCTTAAAGATGGCTAAGCTAGCAAATTGGGTGTTATGTGTATTTTACCACAATAAAAACCTTACCAGCTGCTGATAAACTCACCTGTCTCTGAGATCATAATATTGTCATTGTGCCTGTCGCCTATTCCAAGAACAAAGGTTGCCACACAGTATCCTGCACAGGAATAAACGAATCTCTCCACTGCTGTCTGAAACTGATTAAAATGCATCTTAATATTAATTGTTTTCTAACTACACAGAATGACATGAATTTATTCCAAATGATTCCAGAAATAATACTTTTGGGAACCATTTTCAGACAGCAAGCAAGTTGTGCCTGATTTCGTAAGCATTGAATCTATTAAGTGCCAATTTTCACTTTGCTCTGCTTATATTTAGGTGATGATTCAATGAATCAAATCTCACAAAGACATAAGAGTCAAAGGGGCAGCAGTAAATTAATCACAGGGTTCAAATCCTCTCCGTGCATCCTTGCCCACTACTGTACCGAACCCATAGCAATTTCTCCTTCATTACTGAACTCGTTTTGCTTGAGACCACTTGGGGGTATGCCTGGGTTCACAAGTGCTCATGTTTAACAGAGTACTAAGTGCTGCTAATTATATTTCCTGTTCAAAAGGCTGCTAACCATGCAAATGCAAAGTGCTAATCCTGTGCACTAGAAATTTAGATGACAGCCAGACAGCCTAACCACACAGCTTGTGAAGGATTCAGCATATGCACTTCAGAGGCTGGTGCAGCTGACATTTTCAGCATCCATAATTTACCATCCAGATTAGAGCACGGTGATCAATTAGAAATGACTTTGATGGCTCTGCAGTGTTTCCCAGGTAGGGAGGAATTTATGCATGGTGACTAAATCTTTGTGCTGTGCAACAAAAATAGATAGCCATCCAAAGCGCTGAGAGACTGTTTTACAAAGCCAAATTCTATGCAAGGCAAGCTTGTTAATCAAAGGAGAAGCGAATGCTAGTGGAATCTGGCACTGAGCCCCTCACTGTACACAGAGACACTGTGACATCGTGGGAAAGCCCTGAAAGTCCCTACTACCTCACGAGTACAACGCTACACCCATCTGTCAGGAGGCAAGATGTTGGATGGTCCTTTGAAAACCTGAACACTACTGCTATGTAAACAGAAACTTGTATGGAACCTGGGCGTGTGGGAAAGTGCCAGCTCACCTTTTCTTCAATAGGGCATTTTTCTTTGAGCCAGTGATTCAGGACTTCATCTTTGAATGCGCCAGTGTTGCCCACCGTACTTTGCTGGATTTTGGCAATGGTGGTAGCGTCTTTCACAATCTCTATCATTCCTAGGTGAGGATGGAGAGAATTGCATGGAGACTGGTGACTAAGGCTGGACACACAGGGGGAATGACTAGGTCTCTGAGTGGCGTGCAGAAGGTGTTTGCTTTCTCTGATTTTGTTTTAAATCAGTGGCTACTTTCCAGGTCTGTACTGCTCTTTTTGTTTTGCTTTGGGAAGAGAAAGAAGAGGAGGGTATGGAAGTTGTAAGGGCTATTCTTGCAGTACCACTGAATGAGAAAAGGAAAGGTTACATTGAGTAGTGACAAGTGAAAGGACTTAGGTGCTGAGCACAGCCTTGCTTATTTGGTGATTTGTCCCTTTCCTTTTTTACATTACAACATCAAATGAAAATGGTTTTGTGCAGTTCTCACATCAGAGACCTGAGTAAAAATATATTTGATTGATACTAGAATGTTAAACATCTATAAAAGTACCTAAGAGTAGAGTGTGTAATAGCTTTGATAATGTGATTTCTGGAATTTAAAAATAAGTGACAGATCTTTCTGTCTCATTTTAAATGTTATTTGCAAGAGAAAAGTTTAATGAGCGATGAAATGAGTTTAGAGTTTGAGATGGATTCAGAAGGAACAACTGCTTACTAAAATTGTTTCCATGCCCAGTAATAAGGATTTGAATTGGGCATTCATGTATTTTCTATGTGTCAGTATTAAGTTGCAAGCTGCATTCACCAGCCGGGGAATATTTTCTTCACTTTTACATAGATTGTGGTTGTAAGTTTTAGTTGTTAAATGCCACACCTAAGGGATTATGATCTTGGGAAACTAGCTGAGTGGTGCGTTCATCTCTTGAGATGACCACATACCTATTTTGTCCCCCGTTGAAATGCAGCCATATGGCAGGAGGCACAAATCCAAAGATTCAGTCTCCCAAATGGACTCCATGATGCGTAGAATCTGAGTATCAGAACACAGAAACATTTCTATTATGAATATATATATATATATATATATATATATATATATATATTAATTTAATACATTTTCTCCCTTAAAAACAGGATTTCTTATCTGGACACACAAAATATATGAATAAATGTACAATAGGAAAGTGACAATTCAACTTTTGTTAATTGACTTGGTGTTTAAAGTTTCTCATCATGGAAAGTCTGTTAATTTCCATCCCAGTTCAGGAATGGACTTTTGGGAAGAGGATGAATGGATTTTTTTTGAGGTAGATTTTAAACATATCTCATTACCTATTTGTTCAAAACAATCCATTCCAATATGTATATTTTCCCACAGTAACTCTAACATTTTTTCACGTATTTACTATTCTAGAATCAAGACACTTTTAGGCACCAGCCAAAGCAGCAGTAACTGCAATGATGATAAGAATAGCTCATATTTACTGAATTTTTTATGTTATCTTTGCATTCACTTTACCCTGGGAATATGATTACTGGTTCTTTGCATCAGATAAAGGAATAACAGCTTGTGAGCTTACATAACTTGCTCTTAGTTTCAAACTAGGAGCCCAAACAATGAAGCAAAGTACATAAAAGATAAATGCAAACTTTCCCTCAAATTGAGAGGGAAAACAGAATAATTTCTGTGTTTTTGAAGTCCTCATCTCTGAACAATTCAAAAGTTTCTACAGATTATTTGAAATTGAATTAATCTAACAAAAGATCAAAGGTTTTCTTTTTTAAAAAATGCTTCTTAGACAACACACATACTAGTCTTGAAGGTACAGCAAAGTAAGGGACAGTATTGAGGTCATTTGTTTTGGTGCTATTTCAATTAATGTAGGTTTAGACTCTTGTATACACATTTTGCCCATAATTTTTTTACAAGGTACTTATTTTATCACACATTGAGAGAATTTTATATATATATGTCTTGTATGTGAGTCCTTAAATTTCCAATCTTATTTTGTCTCATGACTGTTGAACAGAACTCATCAAGAGCTAGTTTCTAAGACTTTACTTGGGACCATGGATGATAGTTAAAAGGGCTATTTTCATGGGATAGACCTTAGATACTTCTGCCACTATTTTGTATAATATTTATTGAACATTTTGACAAATATTTATTTTTGTAAGCCTAAAAGTGATTCTTTGAAAGCTTATAGAAACTTGACCAAAAGGCAATATAAAAACACCAGCCCTTGAATGTTGAATGTTTCCATTATGAAATAATATATTTCAGGGTAGTGTTAAGCTTTTAATGTTAAGTCCTATTACAGCAAATTACTCACATTGCCATTGGAGGTTAGAATTCTACAATCAAAGTTAAAATAAAATTGGCAACTCAAAATTAGTATATGCCAAGGTTTTTATATACTTGTCTTTAAGAAATTAATGAAAATACTTCTAAAACGATATGAGGCATTTGCATTCTCAAAGTTCCTCTGAATTTTGTTTAATATGTGTTTGCTTTGGTTTGCAATGATTGTCTGGCATATTTGTGGTCTTCAAACATGTTATCTGTGTATCTCCATAATCAGTGATTTATACATTCAGTTTTATTATCAGCCAGCAATATTTTCAATAAATAATAGATTTGAATTGCTGAATGTAAACACTGAATCTGAATTCACTGTACGTTTAATTGCTTATTGTATTGGTTTTAGATGGTAGCACCGCATGTGCTGTGTTGATTCTTATTTTACTAAAATAAAAAGTTGAAGTCTTAAAAATAAATAAATAAATAAATAAAGACAATCTCAGAGAAAACTGAAAGCACAACCAGTTTTTAAATAGTTTACCTTAGGTCAATGTGATTTGTCTGTTTTGAATAAGTTATACTAAGTTTCAGAAATTATTGACTCCACAATATTGAGAAACTAGAATCTGGACAATATTGCTTTATGGATTTGTGAAGCTAAAATTTATACAGAAATGTCAGAAACTATGGAAACAATGAGCACTGGTACCTTTGCTGTTCGTCTTCTGCCCTAGTAACAGACTCACTCTGATTACTTAGCTACACAGTTTCTTCCATGATCTACTGGCTCAGCTTTTCTCTCCTTTGCATTTGATCGTGGATTTGAGTTTGTGTGCATGCGTGTGTGCATGTGTGTGTGTGTGTGTGTGTGTATGCATGTGCACATCTGTGTGTGCATCAGAGATATACCTAAGGAGAATGCCTTTGGATGTGTAGATGTAGAGTAACAGATAAATTGGATTCTGGATGTAATTATAGCTGCAGTCTACCTTACTGAGCTCAGAACAAGGAACATAAAAAGAGGTTGCTGAGAGAGTGTATCTGGTTACTTGGAAATGCTGGCTGTGCACCTTTGAAGGGCTGAACAGAACTGTGATGTGGATTAGATCACACCTCTAAGATCCACAGCTGTATTCCCTAAATGATAATTCTGTGCTAGGAAACACATGAATACTGTTAATCAGATGAAAGAAGAAAATAGGGGGCTAGGGGTTGTACTTCTGTGGTGTACCTGGCAACCGTGAGGTCATGAGTTTGATCTCCCATACAAAAAAGAGGAGAAAGAAAGAAAGAAAGAAAGAAAGAAAGAAAGAAAGAAAGAAAGAAAATGAGAACACAATAGGTGGAAAACATGCTTTAGATCTAATGCAGAATGCTTTTTTCAGGTAATCAAATGTTCCTTAACATCAGTGTACCTGTAAAATAAGCATGTCTTGGCGCAGGTCATCACCGTGTTTGAAGATAATTCCAATTGTTTCGTTGGACAGAGCTGTGGGGTCAGCACATTTAAACTCCAGCCACAGGGGCTTTTTCTTGGAGGCCATCACTTTACATTTTTCAATCTGTAAGGAAATGGGTACATGTTGCCTCCATGCAATGAGTACACACTGTGGAGACAAATTCTCTTGCAAAGAATCATTATAAACAACTTTATAAGAAACATTATAAACAAGACGGCTTTTCATATTTGGGTGAAAATGTAGATAGTGTTCTTATTAAACCTGGAAAGGCTACATGACAGCAAGTTCTCAACTTTTCAACCAGCAGTACTTCAAGGCACCCTAAGGGTCTTTGAAGATGCCAAGTGGTGTAGGGGATCCCACCCTGCCACCTGCACCCCTGTGGGGTACCTCTCATTCAGATCAACTGTGCAAATGTCTGTTTAAATATTTAGCCTACTCCTAAAATTTTATAAGAGTTGTGGTGCTGCCACAGGATCTAAGAAGCAATGATTGCAGAATCAGATGCAGCAGGTCAAATCTAACAGGATGAAAATTAATAGAAATAAATGGGAAGTCTGGCCCTCAACAACAACCCCCTGCTGAAGTCCCTCCCACATCTAAAAGATTTTAAGATAAGGGAAATGTGGCTAGCAATGACTAAAACCTTAGACATTTTAGTCAAAGGTGAATTCACTACGGAATGAAACTGTGATGTGATCTTTAAACAAGATAACAATTTGGAAGCTGTATCGATGTGCCACAGTTCATGCTATTATCTAAATAAAGGACAGTGCATGGCGTGTGCTTTTGCTATGGAGGCCATCTATTGGTAATTGGATGTGAAATTAAGCATGAAGGGAGAAACTTTCCCTTCTTTCCATAAGCTTTAAGTGCTTAAGAGAACAGAACTAGGCAAGATCTACAGAGCAACTCTCTTCAGACACTGGGCCACAGACAGCGAGTGGAATTCTGTGACCTGCGGAGAAGGGAGACAAATCAAATGAGCCTGGGGATTGCCTCAATTTACTCTGGGGGACTGACTCTAGGCTGGAGGACAGAGAACAGAGACCTAGACTGAGCTCATGGTCTTGTAATTTGAAATGCAGTAACTGATGGAGTCTCAAAAACAGGAGAGGAAGGACCTGACAGGAAAATTATTGGCTCAACAATTTCCAAATGTGACAGACTATACATTCATAGGTCCAAAAAGCTCAATACACTCTAGCAGACAAGAAAAAAAACAACCCCACAAAAAATAAAAAAAACAAACAAAAATCCCCCACAAAAGAAAACAACCAAAAAACCCCAAACCTAACCAAACCAATGACATAACCCATACCAACCCCCCTCACAATCAATTTGCTAAAAAACAGTGAAAAAAGAAAATCTTAAAAGAAGTCTAAATAAAAAGGGCACATTATGTAGAGAAAATCAAAGATAAAAAGAACAGGGTCTTAGCATCAGAAAATGTATGGCTCAGAAGAGGATGCAACTGAAGACAAAACAAAATAACAAAGCTAGTTAATCTAAAGCTACATTAGTGAAAACATTTTTCAAACAGAAGGTGCAGTAGAACATGCTTCAGGTAAGCAAGTACTGGAATCATCTATTGTCAGCAGACCTGCAGTATCAAATGTTTAAAGTCAAAGGAAAGCATTGCCAGATGTCAGCCTGGGCTTAAACAAAATGGGAAGAGTAACCAAAAATGACAAATATGGTCAGGAGGAAATGTTTTTAAGTGGTTTAATCTATTAAGTCTGTTAAATGCATCTTCATTTAAAGCAAAAACATTAATGGTGTGCTGTGAGGTTTATAACATATAAGGAAGTCAAAAGTCTGCCACAAACAGTACAAAGGACAAGAGGGGTTAATGGATCTGTTGCAGAATTTCCAACTGTACTCACAGTGGCTTGCTATTTGAATTTAATCAGGATTGTGTGGGTACAGACATTCAGACAGTGGACTGGAATAGACCAGTGGAACAAAATAGAGAACCTAAGTACAGGCCCACATATAACTGTAGTCAGTTGCTATATGACTTGAGAGGTCTTTTTGGGTAATATTTTTACAAAAATGATCTGTACCTTGGTGGTTACATGGCAGCATATATTTGTCAGAGCTTATAGACTTATACATTTGAAAAGGACAAATTTTACTGTATAGAAAGCATACTTCAGTAAGCTGACTTAAAATAGAACAGAAAGGAAATTACTTGGTGTTGAGGCTTTCAGGGCTACTGATTAGAGAAGGGCTTGACAGAGCCTCTCCAGGGGCTCTGCCTTTATATCCATGTCATTCTGAAGGCCAGGGCCCTAGAGAGCACGCCAGTCTCTTACACTGCGTACAGACCATGCAGAGACATCCAGGTGACACTTACCACCAAGGGTCCAGCCTTCAGTCCAGGATCATATGGAACTCTAAAGCTCTTTGGGAGATTAGAATTCTGCAGGTTTTCAAGCTTTTGCTTAAGTTGTGAAATAACTGCAATTGTCAAAAGCACATGACAGTTACGTCAGTTCCAGAAATTACCGACATTATCTGCAGCATGTTCTGAGGCTATAGTTATTTGCGTTCAACATATTTGGTCTGGGTGGAGCAGCAGAAAAGGGGAAACTAGCAAAGCAACATAACCGTCCACCCGACTCTCAACGAGTGGTAAAAATACGTGATGGTATCTCATGTATGGGGTGACACACAGATACCATGCAGCCAAGAAAGGGGGCTGTTTAAAGGTAGTGCAAAAGGATTGGTAACTGTATTTTTTACCCCAACAAATGAAACTCTGAACTGCCATCTGATTTAAAGCCAGCATTGAGTAGCAGTTGGTTAGGGTTCTGTAAATTTGTTTCAAAAGAGGAAATCAGGATGTGTACAGAAAGTGTAATGTTTTCAAAATTCTAAAGGCAAAATACGTAAGTAAAAAATTACACTCTAGCCAGCAGAATGGAGGTCACTAGAAATATAAAATTACTGCCATTATCAGTTTTAGGAGACAGTAGTATTTGTGTACTAGAGAAAAATCAAAGGGGAGAAATAGAAATTTAAAATAATCCAAAGTTTAAAACACTGGATGAACACAATGGCAAGTGTTGATTTTGAGTTCAGTACTAGGTAAGGGTTTGTGAAAATAATAAATAAGAAATATTCCCTCGCTTCAAGGTTCATATAGTTTGTCAGACCAGAAAGATGTACTAATCACTCTATTTTAATGTAGTATCAATTTAAACTTATGGCACACGGAGAGATTAAGTTTCCTAGGACACAGACAGGATGATGATAATTAGGAAGAGCATCCGTGTGTGTGTGTGTGTGTGTGTGTGTGTGTGTGTGTGTGTGTGTGTGTGTTTAAAGGTAAAAGATGTTGCCAGGCATGGTGGTTTACGCCTGCAATCCCAGTACTCGGGAGACTGAGGCAGGAGGATCATTGTGACTTCGAGCCCAGTCTTGGCTACAAAGTGAGCTCAAAGCTAGCCTGAGCTGCATAGTGAGAGTCTGTCTCAAAAAGAAAAAACAAACAAACAAAGAACTAAAAAAGATATATATATTACTCATACAGACAAATATGAATATATGCAAAAAATTTAACATAGCCTCTCAATAACTTATTACATTAAAAGACTGAAAATTTGAAAATTATCTGCACATATTCAGAGATGGGAAGAAAAATGAACAGATTTGGAAATCAGTCTCTGTGTGTGAAGCTATTCTTAAAGATGGCATCTAAAATCTACATAGTGATTTTTAATTTTTCAGAGAGCTTCATATTTATGACCATACCTCATTATTAAGAATATAACAATTTACAGTTTCAGGAAAATCATTAATTTGCAAAAGAACCATTGTAAATCTGCTTGCTCCATGCAGATAAGACACTAAAATATGTGTTCCTGGCTCCTTTTAGGAAGATATAATGTCGCTTCCCAAAGGAAGAATCATAGCAGTGACGGCATTTGGAAAGAGGACAAGGAAACGTAGCCACTGTACCCTGGGCACTGACGTCATACTTCTCAGCGGAGAGGGACTTGATCTCAATGGTGACCCTCTGCAGCATCTCAATGACGTGGACCTGCTGGGACAAGTCCTGGAGCATGGCGGCACCACAGCCCCTCAGATAGGCTTCCAGGATGACAGCGAACCTCTGTTGATAGTGTCTTGACTGGGCGATTTCACTTCTCAAGAACCAAAACAAGAAGTGACCAATTCTTTTGTTCTGAGGTAGGTACAAGAAGGTTGAAATTATCATGACGAATGGGCTACCAGGCAGTTCCCGATGACCTCACAAGTCATGCTATACTTACTCTTAAGCCACGCTTCAGTAGAAACCTGGCCAGGGCGCTGTCGTGGTATGGTTCAAATTTCACAGCCTAGGGAAGAATACATGGTAGACATCTAGCAACAAAACTAATAAATGTAAAAATAAATTTAGAGGAACATGTCATACAAAACCTCAAGAGTGGCTTAAAATCAGATATCTTAGAATCTTCCTTTTATTAATAGAAATAGTTGATCCTTTCTTCTCAAGGAACAGGAGACATTTCTATCCTGGTTTATATTTTGGGATCCAGAGTCTTGCTGGTATGATTTGCAATGCTTACTCTGACTTTCCAGCTCAGAAAGGAATACTGACTTCATAATGTTTCGATTATATCTACATTTTTAAGCATGCTTTGCATGATCGTGGTCAAATAGGTGCCACTTTAGCTGCAGCTAAGGCCTTAATTCTGAGAATGTGGTTATTTGGTCATAAGTACTCTAAATATGTTTTAAGTTTCTATGCTAAATGTGAATGTTTCTTCATGTTTCGCTTCTGTAAAGGCAATGCAGAATTCAACTGAGAGTACATTTTAATCAAGAATGAGTCATTTAGGCATAGCTGACAGTGTTTTAAATTGTTTCACAAATGACTACTCTCCTTCAAATTTAAGATCACAATTTGCTGTTAATATAACTTATTGACCTCTTTCATTTAAAACATTTCCAAGAAGAACACTATTTATCTTCTAATTTTGCAAATCTACTTGTAAAAATGACAGTAAGAAATAATACTGAGATTTGAAATAGGGTGGATGCAAGTTTTCTTTATGTTGACTTTGTTATAGAGAGCTAGAACATGGAAGGTCCTTTAATTATTGTAAAAGTTTTTAATGTTATGCCAATATCTGAACTAGTGGGCAGAAAACAATATTGAGTATATTTTATAGATAAAAGTGAAGCCCAGATTTAATGTTTCAAGTATTGGACTAATGGGAAGGCAAAGATTCAAAGTTCATAATATTAAAAAGGCTTATTAGAAAACTCCAGGGACTTCCTATAAATATAGTGGGTAGACAGTTTGGCTTCCAAAATTTAGGCTGGGTAATTCTACAGACCTCAGACCAAACATCACCTACTCCAAACTGTTAAAATTAAGTGCTGCTGACTTTGTTTTTTGATAATACCCTACGGTTTTCCTTGAAGCGCCTGTCACAGTTTGTAATTAAAGGCTTTTTGTGTGTACTCAATGTCAGTCTTTTCGGTACATGTGAATTAATAAATGATCAGGTCTGTGCTGTAAGATCACATTGTTATTCTAATTCCTTCTCTTCCTTTTCCTCTTCAAGCAATACAGTATCATTTGAGGGTTGCATTAGGATGCAGGAGCACTGCTACTTCTTGGTTCCTAGCTAAACCTCAGACACATCATTTAGCATCTTGGGACTCCAGGGAACATCATGGAACCCCAGTGGAAATAAAGTTCTGTTCCTTTCTAAAGCAAGGAGTTTTCAAAATTCTATCCGGACCATGAGACGCTATTCTATAAATCATAACAGACATAGGCAGAAAGTAAGCAAGCCCACACTATCCTGACACCAGAGTGATGAGGGATATTTGGGGGCAGGAAAAGGGCTGGGCTTGGAGTCACATCTCCTGAATTATCTGCTTCTTTCAAAGTGTGGACATATGATTTGGTCTTTTTTGTGTCTCAGTTTCCTTATGCACAACAAGGAAATGCTAATTTGATGGCTGGGAGAGTTAAATGCGATAATACACAAAAAACATGTAAATCACTTGGAACCCAGGCACCAGGAGCATTTGACTGCCGCATCTTTCACTAAAACAATGAGAACAAAATATTCTCCCAGAGACAATTCTCTTAAAAAGTGAAGCACAGCACTGATGCCTTTAAAATGCTCGTCAGCAAACCCTCGAAGTCTGTAAGAAAGTAAATGGAAGAATTTACTGTGTTTTTGGGTGGCATCATCAGATCTATTCTGACTACTCAGGAAGCTGTGAAGAAAGAGTATCTGATGAGGACTCAACTGAGTGCCTGTGTGCATGCAAATAAACTCCTTTAAATAAACACAAAGACGGTTCTGTTGCTAAAACGGACATCTTTTACCTGCACCAGCTGTAGGAGGTAGTGCAGAACATCATCGTCCTCCAAGCTTTCTAGCTTCTGAACTGCAATGGCTCTGACGTTTTCGTCTGAAAAGTTGCAATCCAGAAGCTGCATGGTTAACCCAACGTCCAAAGCACTCTGGTCCCAGATCTCCCTTCTGGCTAAGAGCTGGTATGTTTTGGCCACTGTTTCTTGCTCTCCCCATTTCACTGAGCTGAACAGCTTAGGATATGCTTTTGGGTGCTTCAGGCTTTCATATCTGAAGTGCCAGAGCAGTTCTTTGTCCTCTGCTGTGAGAGGGTTGAGTGGATCCGTAGCAATGATCGCTTCCAGTTGCTTGCGAAGCTGGTTGGGCATTTCAGCTCGAACTCGGTCCCCTTCAGGGTCAGCGGTGGGCCGATGCTTAGGCAGCGCTATTGGGTGACAGTAATTGTCCAGGAGGATGGAGATGGACATCGAGTTCTCCTTGTCTGGGTTGGTGGCAGAGGTGAGCTTGTCTGCGTTGACGCTGCCTTGGTCTGCGCCCTTCCCGGATATCTGCCACATGTGCAGGACATACTCTCCGTGGCGCAGCAGGAAGCGGTGGTCTATGAGCAGCAGGTTCACATAGTAGAGTAGCTGAGCTTTGCCCCTGGACTCGGACAGCCCCGGAGCTTTGCCGCAGTAGATCTGGAGGTTCAGCAGAGCCCCCTTGGGTAAGTCTTTGATTTTGATGCTGAACTCCAGCCACACGTTCCAGAGCACCTCCTCCGTGAAGGGTTTGGCGCTGGTTCGCCGTTGGCAAAGGACCTGCTGCCCATGCTGGATGTTGGCTTCCACAAAAACTGTGAGGTCCGTGTTGCGGGGCAGAATGGGGATGTCAATGCCTCTGATCTTGACCCTGAACTTCCGGTCACAGTCCCACAGGGACACGGTGAACACGCTCTCATGGTCCTTGCCGTGGATGGTCAGCTGCTCGTGGTAGCCGGTCACCCCCGTGCAGTCGTCCACCAGGGGCCACTCCTCTTTCCTCACCTCATCCAAAGCGGGGTCCGGAGGCGTGTCCAGCACCAGGTGGATCTCTTCTCCGTTCTTGAGGCAGTGCCTCACCCACTGGAAGTTTTTGATGGGCGTGTCCCCCACCAGGTACTCGTCCCTGCCGCAGACGCGCAGCACAAAGTCGCGCTCGCTCTGGCTCTCGGGAATGTCCATCAGCGACTTCTTCTTGGCCATCTTGGTGAAGAAGCTCTGCAGGATGGCAGCGGGCGTGTCGTCGGCAGAGACCTTGATGGTCTGGCTGGTCGTACTGCGGTGGATGATGATAAAGATGCAGTTGTTGGTGATTTTTTTGGACAGGTACTCCGGGAGGGGCTTGGATGTCACCCAGGGGTGCATGGCGTAGAGCTTGGCGTCGCGGCTGGCCACCTCGGCCATGCGCGGCGTGACCAGGCGGCGGCGCGTGAACTCCAGCTCGTCGTCGTGCACGTTGCTCACGTCCGTGACATCATAGCCCATGAGCGCGGTGAGCTGCCTCTGGAAGGCCAGGGTCTCCTCCGAGGGCGCGTGCCGCTGCACCAGGTGGATCTGCCCCGGGCTCCGGTGCAGCACCTTCCAGTAGTGCAGGCAGTCCAGGGTCTGCACCACCTGGTACTTGTCGTAGATCTCGTACCACTGCCCCTTCTTCTGGTACAGCAGGAGGAAGTGGTCCGGGCCCAGGCGGTGGTAGAAGTCAGCGGCCGTGCTGGTCTCCAGGGCGCGCAGCCACACCTGGGCTTTCATCTGCTCCACGTTGCCGTGGCCCGCCACGTGCAGCAGCACGGTTTCGGGGGTCTTGCAGTGGCGCTGGCTGGTGGGCAGCACGAACTCGATGGGCACGAGCTCCGTGGCGGACAGGCTGGCGGCCGCGCTGCGCGGCTTCATCCTGCGGCGCCGGCGAAGGTTGTCCTCCCGCAGGATCACAGGCGGCTCAGCGTTCTCCAGCTCCATGCCCCAGGCGACCTGCAGCGGAGAAGCAGAGGGCTTTGTCACGGAAAGGCCTTGCCCTTTGCATCTGCCCACGAGACGGGGAGGGAGGGTGTCCTAGGCTGACCTGCGCGTGGGACCCGGTGCGTGGAGCTGAGGCAGGACAGCGGGTCGGAGCCGGCTTTGGAGTTAGGCACATGCATCTGGGCCCTCTGTTACTTACTCCTCTAGGTGATTTGGGCTATTTGGTCTCCGATCCCATTTCTTATCTGTCAGATTGCTTGGTAATACCTCGGAGGGTGGAGGCTGAAGTTGAAAAAGGGGGTACACTGGCTTAAAAGCAATGGGTTTATGGGTGAGGGGGTCAGTGTTGATTCCACTTTTGTATGTGTTTGAAAAAGTTTAATAATAATGGCAATATTATTATTAATATAAGAAGCTGAGGATGGAGGTGCAGCTGTAGTGCCTGCACCCTGGGAGCCTGAGGCAGGAGGATTGAAAGGTAGAGTCCAGCCTGGGCAATTTAGAAACTGGGCAAGAGGGCAAGAGCATGTCTCAAAAAAAGGAAAAAAAAATGTCCTGGGGACAGCTCAGTGTGCAGGCTCTGGGTTCGATCCCCAGTGCCAGGCTGGGGCTAGGGCCGGATCTTCTTGGACAGGTAAAGCAGTCACCTAGCATTGTGTTTGAAGGGCCCCAAATGGTAACTGTTCTCAAGCGTGGACCAAAATTCACAGATAAGTAAAGCAGTACCGTTACGGATCAAGTCCTAGTTTAGAAGATGCAACACCAGAAGCGACACACTTTGAAAATAAGCCTTAATTTATTGCCTTTGCTCAGTCTCACACGTCTTTTTTAACTAGACGCTTTACCCAACCAAGCCTCATGTTCTCTATTTTCAAACTGTCTGGACCCAGGACTCCCTCCCCAGTCAACTTCCTGTCTTTCTATTCTTTTCTTTTTTTTTTACCCTGTACTTAAGAAAGCTAGTCATTTCATTCATAAAACTCAGAAATACCAGAACTGGTCAATTTGCAACTGAAAGTATTTGAAGATATATGAAATTCTGAATTGTGAAATGTATGAAGATTCTAGCAGTCATTGCTATGTTAGGGCTACATCTAAGTGGGGACACCCAAGGCTGTCCTCACCTAATGTAAGTATCTAGCTAATTTAAACTTTAACCAATTCATTTACGTGTGGTTAAATTTGCATCTGCCTTAGTTGAGGACCTGCAGACTAGAAGGAAAGATTCCAGACTATATAAACTGTCTATACCACTATTATTTGACTTCTTTTAATATTTTCATCTCTATATCAAAAGTTCACAAGTTTGTTTCCACTCACTAACTTACCTACTCTGTCTGCAAATATTTAATAAGTACGTTTCTTCCACAAAGCATGTAAGTTTTATACTTGACACACTTCAAATGACTGAAATGCGAAAATTACTAAAATTGGAAGATAAATAATAAGGTATTCTTATTTTAATATTTACTATCACAACAGTGCAATACAGTCTAATAAGAATCAACCATTAGGCTGTGCATGATAGCACATGCCTGTAATGCCAGCACTTGGGAGGCCGAGGCAGGAGGATCATTGTAAGTTTAAAACCACCCTGGACTACAAAGTCAGTTTAAGGCTAGCCTAAACTGCATAGAGACCTGTCTCAAAAATATCCTTCCTGCCAAAAAAAAAAAAAAAGAATCAACCATTGAAACAAAGTTAATGTTTCAGAATATATCATGTATTCTCTTAAGTAATTAATGTTAATGACACCAATCATTTTTTATTCCATTAAGAAGTAGTGGCACATTTACTAGATACCAAAAAACAGTTTGATTAAAATCTAAGAAAGACAAGTTTCATTGGATATAAACTTATATTCACATTTTGGCTTAACTTCTTTTTAAAGTCAATATTCCTTCTCTTAAAACATAATGAGGTTATATTTAGTAAGTAAATGAAACCAACTGTCCCAAACAACTGTCTCTTACAGTTTAAAACATTCACTTTGGTCTTTAGCTACACCCTAGGATAACTAACAAAAAAGAGAACTATAAGATGCATTGATACTGACACTAACTTGAAATAAAATTTGTTCAAAGTAAGTCAACATACAAATATACCAGGATATTTGCCTCAGTGACACCAATCACTCATGTAAGAGTCAAGATGTAGAGGAAAGCAGGCTAGCAAGTACTCACTGGTTTCCTTCATGGTCGAGTCTGTGATGCTTTCTCCTTTTATAAAGCGTTAGAACCACTCTAAGTACAGTATTTTCTAAGTGTACACTTGTAAGCCCTCAAAGCCTGGGTTTCACAGGCTGCAGGCCCTCCCTCTTCCTCCCAAACAAAAACAGAAAAGAGCTGGTGCACCTGCAAACTATGGCCGGAACACCGTGGATGTCCACAGTCTCCACTGGAATACAGGGAAACTCAGACACTCACTGGTCAGAGCATAGTAAGAACCAGCAGCGGCTGGAGATAAAAATATGCTGGCTGAGAAGGAAGTGTCACTGTTCTGAATCAGACCCAAGAAAGGGCAAAAATAGAAGGGAGGAATACCTGATAGAGCAGCGGAGGCGATGATGCTGAAGGATCATTTGTTTAATTATTGAAAACAAAACAGATTCAAACCTACCCAGGGTGCTTCTCAGTTCTTCCGCTTTTCTGGGCTCCTTTCGTATCCAGATGCAGAGGAAGTATTGCAGTTACCAGGAAGGAAGTTTTAACCAAGTTGATTATACGTGTGATTGCTCATTTTAAAAGTGTCAGAAATGCATTTCCTGTTATAGCAGAGACCTAGAGATGGAGGGTGAAAGCAGTGTTTGTCTTATTCAGTTATTTATTTATTGACTTTGGATTAATTTTCCAAAGATTATCAGGGACTGAGATAAATAAAAATTACAGAAATCCAGATCAAAAATATAGCAGAAAAAAACCAAATCGAATATTTTTGTGATTAGTTAAAAGGAGAAGAAAAAGCCTAGAGTCACAATATTAGACAACTTGTTAGGAAGAGTTTTAAAAGCTCAATTAAACTTGTTACCCTTATGGAAAACCAAATACACCCTGGTTCATATGCTGCTGAGTAACCTAGTGCTGCAGAGGGCGGAGTACTCGAGTTGGATGTTCCCAAAGGCAGTGTCTGGGGACTCACTTCCTTTACTTGGTGAGAGATTTCTGTTTTTTTTTTTTTTTTTCAGAGCATTTAAGACTTAAAATATCATGAGCTCAAACTAAAGTCCTGCAGTGTGCGTGCATGTTGGTGTATGTGCAGGGGGAGGCTGCCTATGAGCACGGGTGGACATACTGCAGACCAAAGAGGAGGTTGCTGGTATCCTGGAGAAGACTGGGGTAGGGACAAATGCTGTCACAGCATCTCACAGGCAGCCACTGGGGGATGGCACGGGATTCCCAAGGGAGTAGCGAACTCATTAAGAAAACCACCCAGAGCCCTTTTTAGAGCAGTTCTGTATTTTCCTGATAACCTCACTTCCTTCCGGAACTTCCAGACACACTCAGGCCCTAGACCACTGCTCCTTTCTCTCCATCTCAGGCTTCTTAACACCAGAGGTCGTCTTCTGCTCTGGGCTTCATGTGCCCTAACAGAACTCCAGAGACAGAAGGATGGAGTTGGCCGCACAAGTCTTCTGGATTTATATCAAGGTAGATGATTGTTTGATCTCCCTCCACATAGATTCCTACAGTATTAACTTTTTAATAGTATCCTAGTAGTTGCCATCGGCAGGAAAAGTCACTTATTCAAAGGCTGCTTCCCAAATTTTTAGAGGGGGGTCTTCAGCTTTCCAAGGTGTAGTCCTGTGTAGCAATATTCCCTTGGAGTCTACCAGCTGCAGAAGCCTTGGGGCTGACTTTTGAGTTGGTCTGGCGGGAAAACCACTGCACCATGGCCACCAAGTCACAATGTAGGGATTTGCCAACCTGGATTTCAGCACTGAGTAATATGAAGGTTCACGTGATAGATTGGATTGAGGTGGGAGGGGTTTTTCTGGTGGGAGGGCTGGCTTCAAAAGAACTGGGAGTTTGACCCATCCCAGTCCCCAGACCATTCAATAGATTCCTTAGATTCCTTCTCAGACTGACTGGCAATGCACACACACACACACACACACACACACACACACACAACTCCAAAATGCTAGTCTCAGGCTCTTGGGTCTTCTTTTTTTCTGAAGGAACTATTCAGTTAAGTTCAATTATGCAGATGTTGTCTGTTCTCTGTATGAACTTGCAAATACTTCAAGCTCTATGGCTGATTTGTGATTAAAACTACCCTGCTCTCCCCCAAATCCTAATATAGTCGTTAAAATTTGACTATGTGGAGTGACTGTTCTCAGAGAGAAGTCATGGCAAGTGTCTCCTTCCTCTACGTTAGTATTTCCTCCAGGCCAGTCTGTCTTTACTGTAAAAAATTTTCTTCCCCACTATATGTAGGTTAATAGACTGTTAGGTCTCATCAGTATTCAGTTTTTCAATGTTTCTTAATTTTTCTCTTCTGTGGATTTCCGTATCTGTAGCACTGTGTTTATACATCATGGACATGCAAATCACTTTGGTTGAAAAAATAGAGTCTGACTTTCTATTTCACATCTAACTATTACAGGAATGACAAAATGGAACATACTAGAAAGCAGAAGCACACTAGGATGCGTCAGCGATGTAGAAGCAGGTTCAGAACTGGTTGTTTGCTACAAAGAAGCTTTTAGCATGACCAAAACGATTATGTATGGTCCAGTTGGAGAGGCAGCACACCATACAGATGCCTTTTTAAATTATGCAGATAAAAAATATGAGCAACGTGACCATTATAGAATCCCAGTGATTTAACTGCATTAGGAAACGTAGAAAGACATTTTAATCTGACATAACTATTTAGTTCGCCTTCATAACCTTCCTTTGTTTTGGGGCACAAAAGCAAGTCTTTATGAAGGTAGGTCCAACAGTTTTTGGACTGTATTTGATAAGATTAAAGGGAAGTACCCTGATATTCATAATGTAACTAGGTCTATTCCTGTTCTCTGTTTAGGCCTAACATATACCAGCTTATTTCTCCCAGCTTCCTAATTTATAGTAAGGATGGCAGCTACCTTGCTTATCTCCTAAGAAGTTTTTATAAATCTTCAATTTTTTTAACAGAAAAAACTTATCTACTATGTAAGGCATTGTGTTAGATGCTGTAGGGAAACAATTCCAGGGTCCTATACCAATGACACAGTACGCAGGGGTAAAAGAGCCTGGGTCATTGCATGTGCTTCTTTTTCAAAGAGTGGAAAACTTCTCCAGAAGCCTCTTGGGTTCTCTTATGTCTTGGCCCAGAGCTGTGGCAAGTGTTCATTCTACCTAGCCAATCAGTGGAAGAAGGGAAGAATTGCTGTAATGATTTAATTTCATCAGGATTTACCATAAGCCTGAGCTCCTGCCTTGTCAGGGAATGATGTCCACTAGAATTAAAGTTCAGGACTCAGGAAGGACACAGCTGGACGGAGGAGGCCCACAGGAGACTCTGCCACAGCCTCAAATGCCACTAAGCAGCAGGGTGTCATCATGCCACACGAGGAGAGGGGAAGCACTGAATTCTGAGAAAAGAAACTACAGGAAATCAGTCACTGTCAGTGAAGACCCAGGCTCCACAGCGAGGCCAGTGTGTGTGGAACATTCCACTTCTTTCTTTATTCTTAGCAGAATGTGGTCATCAAGAGCACTTTTCTCTGTTTCCTTGTTCAGTTTAACTTTGCCAGCACAGCATAGGAAACACTGTAGACACTTCTAGAAACAATTTTTTCTGTAAATTGACTTTTAGAAGTCCAGGTTTCTTGGCTACATTAGAACGTTTATGATCAGTCCTTAACTCTGCGTTGTCCTCCACAATGAAATGGAGCTGATCTCTGCTCCCACACTTGCTAGGCCCCCTGCATTTGTTCCTCTGTGCCCTGTCCCCTCTTCCCATTTCTCTCTTTCCTTTCTCCATCCCTTCAACTTGCTTTGTCAATACTCAGATAGAGCAGCCTCCTCTGGGAAGGCTTTCTAGTTTTGGAAAGCACAGGGTTAGGGAAGATTTTCCCACTGGTAACCACCCCAGTAGCAGTAACATCACCACCACAAAAACATACTCTTGTGTAGCTCTGTTTCTTATGTGGTTCAAAGTACTTCAGTGTGTTCATTTAATCCTCCAATCATCTCAAGGAGCCCTGCACCACAATGATCTCCATTCACAGATGATGAAAGCAGAGGTTAAGTGGCTGCCTCGGGTCCACAGCTGGCCAGCAGCAGTCATGGTAATGCCTTGGTGGGAGGAGGCAGCTGTGTTCTCAGCTGGGTCCTCCTCAGATGATTGAGCTCTTTGAGACCCTCTTTCCCAGGACTTGGCATATATGAAACTGGGACTCATAAATACTTATGGAATCTTTTGTACTGGGTATCTGTCTTTTGAAACTCACTGGATTCTTTTGAATTTGTGGGAGTGAATGGTGTTCCTAAAGCTTGTCCAAACCGAGCAAAACCCAGACTGCATCTCCCTTCCATGAGACCACTCTACTGGAAGCCCTGTAATCTGCCCCCTCCCGTTAAATGTCAGGAAACGGAACTTGTGAGGACAATGGTCTGCAGGGTGTGGAATCTAGTAGGGAACTTAGCTGGACCTAATGCGTTAGGAAATGCCCCTTTACAGCCCTTCTGTGGGTCCAGAATTTTAGTTTTATTTGTTTTGCCCTTGCTAATATTGACTGAACTCTAAGCTCAAAGGCTGCCTGCACCACATTTGAATAAGTAAGACCTCCTCCCAAATAAGGGTTTACACAGATCCCCATTGTGAGTTAAGGGATTGGGGCTGGAACAACCCGGACTACCAACCGGGTGGAATGTGTCAGAAGTTATAGTAACCCACAGCTAAATGGTTAAGTGAGATGCTTTCTAAAGAAGACAAGACATACATGGAACCCAGGATGCAAAATGACTCCAGGCTTGGGTTCCTTAGCACTCTTCATGGGATCAATCAGAAAAATCTCTGTTCCCAATCCTTCCTTTGAATCTGACAGTGTTTGAAGAACCATTTGTAAGACACTGTTCCCAATCTGTCATTTACATACAAATAAGACCAATCCAAAGACACCGTTTCCGATTCTTCACTTACATTTGCAGAGAAGACAAACTGATTTGACAATTTCTATCTGATGTGAGGCCAAATGAGTTTTTGATAGGACAGCTGTCACTTTTATGCCATATTTGCAGAGACAGGGACCAGTCCAGGTATTTTGGACACGGAAGGTCACTTTTCCTTGGTTCCCGAGCCTTCCTGAGCCTGCTTCACCTGCCTGCTGTCTCCCTGTGGAGCACACCTTTTCGCTCTGTCAGTAAACCTACACCCTCAGTGCTGCTTCTGTGAGTGTGGACACCAAGGACCTGAGGAGAGGTCCCTGGGGCTCTGAGTGGGTAACGCCTGGGTTCTGCTTTCATAATTATTTGTAGACTGCCAAGGATTTTGAACCCATCTGTTCACACCTACCCAGTCACCC